TCTGGTGGTGCTTATATGGCGTAGATGGGGTTGAGAATGGGACTGATCCAATCTCTTTGAATATAACATAGCCAGGATATCACATGATCAGTATAAGCTTTGTTTCTGATCTCCCGATAGCCACGAATGCCAGTGTATCTACTTGGGTTCCTTGGCTTTCGTCTCATTATTGCTTAACAAGGGACTACGGACGATTCGGTCCCTTTTCAAAAGACCCCCGACTAGCGCATTCCAGGTCCTATCTGACCTACATCTGGAAATCAATCGACAATATTCCTTTGAAATCTCTGTTTGCTCCAAATATCTCATCCTAGCAGGCGAGATCAGCCGCCTGGAAGATCACAACAACTACCGTGACTTCCTAGAAAACCAAACGTCCAAATTTGGGATCGTGTTCTCGGCCCTTGGAAACCACAAATTCTACGAGACAGCCGTCAATTCAGGCTTTGAAAAAGCACAAGAACTTGAAAAGGAACCTTGTATGAAGGGCCGACTTGTAATACCCCACCAACAATGATATGATATCCCGGACTCCGGCGTGGCAATCCTAGGCTGCACACTCTGGTCCCCAATCCGCCGAGAACCAACAGATATAATCCATTCCAAATCTCCGATTTCAAAAAGATCAAAGAGTGATCCGTGGAACAACACAACAAAGCTCACGACTCCGACTTGATCTGGTTGAGGGTGAGATCCAAACTCTTCGGGAGACTTCCCAGGAAAAGCGGTCTGACGCATCATGCACCATCCCTGCAGCATACTTCGAGTCCGCAGCACGCTAAGAATTTGTAGAGTTGTGCTTTTGGGCCGGATCTTTTATCGCAGTCCTGGGATGGAGTTAAGGTTTGGGTGCTTGGGCATACGCATTATACGACTGGGTTTAAGGAGATGGGGATTAGGGCTGTGAGTAACCAGCGGGGATATGTGCTTCTTTGGAAAACCGGGACTTTGATAATTGATACTCCAGCAACATCTATGGAGGGCAATGTGCTTATGTCTAATCACAAACACATAGAAGCACAGAAGCACAGAAGCACCCAAGCACCCAAGCACGAGGGTTGGACGAATATGAACCGTCGATACCAAATGCGAACGAACAACGTCAAACTGATTCTATCTTGGAGCACCTAGAATCACCCTTATCTATCGAACAGTTTCAATTCCAAACAAGTTTGATGCTATTCTGGAACTTGTTGGTAACAACACTGTTGTTGATTCACTCAAGATGGTGCGCAGAGGAGGATGGGTCTGTCTGGCTGGGTTCCTGGGTGGGCTTCTTTGGGAGTTTTGCGTTTGGAACCCCTGAGTTTCTTTTGTCGGATGTTCCTCTTCGGGAGATAGTAGCTATGGTGGCGCGAAAGCAGTTTAATGCGGATCATTGGAAACGTCTTTCATTTTGACGAAATTCAACAGACTCACCGTTTGATGGAGAATAACGAGAGACATGGAAAGAAGGTGTTTAATACCGATTGAAAGAATAGCAGAATAGCCTATGGTCTATACGTGCGAAAATGCAAGTTTGTTCTTTTGGTATTTCCCTCTCTCAAATCCGGAAGAGCTATACTTTCATTTCTCATAATTGCCAAGCAACTAGGTTGATCCAAGGTAGTTTCATTTATGGAGCATAGTTTCCCAAACTAAACCGTGTTGGTAGTGGGCACTTTACTTTAAGTATTCTTGATCTGATAACGTCCGGTGACTTGGGTGTTATTTCATGGTGGGTCACTACAAAGCCCTACCCCCTTAACTCAGATAGTAGCGTGGTTATGAATGTAGCTCCCATAAATTGTTTTGACGTTGTATTCGGTGTACCGGCCTGCCCCAATGATCGACCGACGGGAGGAGGATGAGCGGATATTCAACACAGTCCGCGCATTATGAAAGGGCCACTAAATCAAATGGGCTGAATGTTAAATGATTCCGAATAAGTGCCAAGACCAAGGTAGTGGAAAAAGATTGAAGCGGACAATCTTGCAGACTAGCCTTTCTTAAAATATCCATATTCAGCAAGTCAATTATAGCTACCTCTGTAGCCGAAGTTTATCCGCCATGAGGCTGACAGTCCTGCCACGCGTACGGATCTGGGAATGACGCGATCGCCGGACCATGGATGGGTTTTAGGGCTATATCTTAAGTATAAGGGAGTAAACCTTACCCGGCCATATCAAACTTCAAATAAGCTAGGGACCTCCTGGCCCATTATTGGTCAACCAGTCTCCCCGAGGAAATGATTTACTCCGTAATCCTTAATTTGGAAGGCTGAATCGGACTTGATACACGTTGGGCTACGGGGACGGACCCGTTTCCCTTCACGTTCTGAACTTCGCCTCGCAATGGGCGTTAGATGACGACGACTAAGTACCCACGCCGACATTGTGATCCCTGATTCCAGGTGTGGTTTCATGGTTTGATTGCAGGCAACGCAGCGGGCTAATGCACGATCTTCGCATTAGTTGCCAGGAACTGAATACTGGCCGTTTTCTTATAGAGTCCTAAAGATATTATAAGTATAGCCTTACCTCTAGCGTTTCTGTCAATCCTCTGGGTCTTCACACTCGTTGAATTTTCTTCTTGACACTCATTTATTCCATTTTATATCTATCTATTATACTTCAACATGCGTCTCTCCTGGGGCGCATCTGCTGCAGCCCTGGCAGCATCGGCAAGTGCTGCTTCATTTGCTGATGTCTGTACCGTCTCGAATGTGCGGTCTGCCTTGCCCTCCAATGGCACTCTGCTTGGTATTAGCATGATCCCCTCCGCTGTGACTGCTAGTGCCGTCTACAATGCTAGCTCTGGTACGGGTGTTGGCGCTGATACGGGGAGCACCGAGACCTACACCTACTGCAATGTGACCGTCACCTACGAGCACACTGGCAAGGGAGACTCCGTCGTCATCAAGTATGCCTTCCCTAAGCCCTCCGACTTCAAGAAGCGCTTCTATGTTGCCGGTGGTGGTGGCTTCTCTCTGTCTAGCGATGCAACCGGAGGTCTCGAGTACGGTGCTGTCAGTGGTGCCACCAGCGCAGGCTATGATGCCTTCAACTACAGCTACGACGACGTGGTCCTCTACGGCAACGGAACTATCAACTGGGATGCAACCTACATGTTCGGATATCAAGCCCTAGGTGAAATGACCAAGATCGGAAAGGTTCTTACCAAGGGCTTCTACGGAATGTCTTCCTCCGCCAAAGTCTACACCTATTACGAAGGCTGCTCTGACGGTGGCCGTGAGGGTATGAGCCAAATCCAGCGCTACGGAGAGGAGTACGACGGAGCGATCACCGGAGCCCCAGCCTTCCGTTTCGGCCAACAGCAAGTCCACCACGTTTTCCCAGCTGCAGCCGAACAAACCCTCGGCTACCACCCCCCTCCCTGCGAGCTGGCTAAGATTGTCAACGCCACCATCGCCGCCTGTGATCCCCTCGACGGCCGAACTGACGGTGTCATCTCCCGCAGCGACCTCTGCAAGATCAACTTCAACCTGAGCTCTATCGTCGGAGAGAAATACTACTGCGCAGCAGAAACCAGCACCTCCCTAGGTTTCGGCTTCAGCAAGCGCGCCGACGGCACCAGCACCTCCACCACACCCGAACAGAGCGGCAAGGTTACCGCCGAGGGCGTGAAAGTCGCGCAAACTATCTACGACGGCCTCCACAACTCGAAGGGCGAGCGCGCCTACCTATCCTGGCAAATCGGCTCTGAGCTCAGCGACGGCGACACGACATGGAACAACGAGACTAGCAAGTGGGAGCTTAACATCCCCTCAACGGGCGGCGAGTACGTGACCAAGTTCATCCAGCTCCTCGATCTCTCCAACCTCTCTGATCTCAACAACGTCACCTACGACACCCTCGTCGACTGGATGAACACCGGCATGGTCCGCTACATGGATAGTCTGCAAACCACCCTGCCCGACCTGACCCCATTCCAATCCTCCGGCGGAAAGCTGCTGCACTACCACGGTGAATCAGACCCCAGTATCCCAGCTGCGTCTTCGGTGCACTACTGGCAATCTGTCCGCTCGATCATGTACCCGCATCTGTCTTCGCAGGATAGTCTCAAGGAACTCGCCGATTGGTACCAGTTCTACCTCATCCCCGGTGCTGCGCACTGCGGCGTGAATTCCCTCCAGCCTGGCCCGTTCCCGGAGAATAATATGGAGATTATGATCGACTGGGTTGAGAATGATATCAAGCCTTCTCGTTTGAATGCGACTGTCTCGTCTGGTACTTATGAGGGTGAAACGCAGATGCTTTGCCAGTGGCCCACTCGTCCGCTCTGGAAGAGTAACAGCACCTTCCAGTGTGTTGATGACAAGGCTTCTATTGAGAGCTGGACTTACTCTTTCCCTGCTTTTAAGTTGCCTGTGTACTAGATTGTATTTCATGTATACAGTCGCTTGGATCATGCCAAGGATGTCTCTCGCTTGGGTTAATTTTTGGATTGAAGACTGGAGATTAGATTGCTGGTCAGCCCTAGTTCAGCCCTAAGGGGGTCTGGATTTGTGACCAAATTGGGATTCTACTCTAAATATATTCTGTTTAATACCCATGTCTATCGTCTGCTTTATCTTACAAGGTTATTGTGGCCGTGGTCACTTTGAAAAGTGTTGGATACTACTCCCTGTGTAGCATGTGCGTGTTCCGGGGCCGATTGCAAGAATCTTGGATGAATTGTTTGGTCTCATTAATTGTACAACGTTGTAGGTCCAATTGTAGGTCTAATACTTTCTCACATGTGATAACATGTGAATGTATCAAATTGGGCCATGAAAGGCATGTGGTAAGGTTAGTCTACGAAATGCTCAACTTGTGTACCCCGAATAAGTTTTGAGAATTTTCTAATTTTCGTTCTAAATCTATAAACAAGTATCCAAAAAAGAAATCTGAATTGTGCTTCGTAATTTGTACTTTGCAATTTGTTCAGCGTAAAAACTCCCCCCCATAACCAAAAGGTATATCCAACTAAACACCTAGAATCAAGACCCAAGCAACACTCTAACCGAGAGTGAGAGTGTAAGCGGCATCGAGACCGCAAGCCAAGGTGTTGACATCATCGGGATGCTGGTAGGACTGGACACAGTCGGCATCGCCAGGAGCACAGGTGGAGGTGGGGCAGGACTCGTCGCTGATAGTGACGGCGAATCCGGCGGAGACGAAGGCAGAGGTCTTGAGCAGATTGATGGAAGACATATCCCAGAAGAGGACATCACCGGACTGGGTGTACTCGAACTGGAGAACGTCGTCGCAGACCTCGGTGGTGGACATCTTGATGGAGATACCGCCGCCGTTGGTGTTGGTGAGCCAGGTGTCGTGGAAGGACTCGCCGGATGCGAGGGTCTTCATTTCACCTGCGGTCTCGGTCACGACCCACAGGTAGACGGTGTCCGGGAGGTTGTTGACGATGGAGACACCGCTGCCGGTGGCGGTGGCGCTGCTGCTGGTGCTGGATGGGGCGATGGTGGTGCTGGAGGCGACGCTGGAGAAGCTTGACGGAGCGCTGGTGGTGGTTGGCACGACGGTGGGGACGCTCAGAGTCGGGACGATGGTCGAGCTAGGGACAACGGGGGTCCAGGTCGAGGAAATGACAGAGGAGGTGGTGGAAGGAATGGCGACCGCCTCGACGAGGTTGGTAGGCGCACTGATCGGAGTGGCGGTCTGGTAGACGGTTTCAAAGACAGTGTGCGTCTCCCAGACGGTCTCCGCGACGTAGTGAACGTCGGGAACGGCGACGGGGAGGGCGGAGGCAGTCATTGCCAGAAGGGCCGAGAGGCCGATAACGTTGAAGCGCATATTGGCTGAATTGAAATCCGGTATTGAAGGGAAAGTGTGTGGAAGACAGTGATTTCCTTTGAAAGAGGGACTTTAGTCTGATCTACAGACTGTTAAAGAGAGTGTAGGTATGAGGCTCAGCCCCAAGGTATGAATCTAAATGAGTGTGATTCGAAAGATCGTGATGTCAAAGGAGAGAAAGAAGGAGGAGAAGGAGGAGAGGGTATAGCGCCATTTTATTCTTTGGAGTGGAGTACGTAGGCACAGGGCATTGGGCGTGTCAGATTTTGGTGTGGCAGGCGTTTGATAGGCCTTCGAACTCATTGAACCATAAAATTGGGTTGACTATGTGTATCCATCCATGTGGTCGGTGCCTGACTAGACGAGGTCAATCCTAATAATCCCATTGGCAACCACCGTCAGGGTCAGGAACAGAGATCTGGTTCGACCAACCCGAATGGAACTCGCCAACAAATTTCCATGGGTGGCTTAGTTCCTGAACCACACATTTAAGTTTTTTTGTTTTTTTCCTTTGTTTTTTTCTGTTTTTTCTGTTTTTTCTTTCAATTCTTCGCTGTTCGTTGTGACCTGTTCGCCAACGCTAGTTTCTACTGTGGAGATAGGCGCCCGGTCTAGATCGAATCATAACCCACAGAGGAACTCGGACCAAAAGTTTTCAATTGCTCCTTTCTTTTTCTTTATATTTTAATTAGGCTTATGGCATTACGCCACCTGTTTGACATCCCGCACCATGCCCCTGAATATCGTTTTTTGGGCCTTTTTTACAATATAAGATCAATATAAAAGTTCTCCTCAAGTTCGCCAGGAAGATCGACTTGGATTCGACTTAATCAAAGCTTATCTCTTAGGTTGAAACAGGTTGGGAAGGAGGATAGATCATCACTTTGCCCTAGTATCTACTTTGTATGGGTGCCCAGCATGTCTAGACCGTGGATACGAGGTTTGGGTCACATACATAGTTTGATTATGCTTCTCTAGTCAGGTACTCTACGGAGTTGTAGTACGTAGGTACATCCATAATCAGGCACAGACCTCTCCGGGACTTTTCTCCCCTGTTGACGCCACTTCGGTGGATTTACATCGACAACGGGTTCCTAAAAAAACTCTGCCGGTATCCAACGTGCCGAGCCCTGATAGGTGTAATTTGTACACACAAGACACATATTTCCATGAATCGGTACCAGAAAAATGTATGTACCCTATAATCCCCTCAATACACTCGTGGACAGATGTGGCGATTGACCCGCCAAGCCATAACCCCGCTCAAAAATCCACAGGAAAATTCGTATGTTGTACATGTAAAGAGACATACAACATAGTAACGTTCAGGGAGTGGCCCCGTAAGCGACATCATTGGGGAAGACGTGGGTTTTTCGGGCAGCCGATGTGTTGGAAACACGACCGTCTGTTAAAAATTTGTGTTTCTCAGACCCCGTACCACTGGCAGCCAACGGGTCACCCCGGCTATAGGTATCCAGCGCATTAAACACATAACCGAAGACTTGGCGGTCAACGTCCGAGGCCCACAAAAAGTCTAGATGCTCGTAGGTTGGAATCGCCCGGGCGACAGTGTCATGTGGCAACCCTTTCAGCATCACTCCAATATCAACGAGACTGTCACTGTCGCCATATAGGAGGACAATGGGAGTTTTGATGTTGCGAGTAGGGTATTTCACCGGCTTGTAAAAGCGCTCACTGGCAGCTACGCTGAAGGGGGCATATACTTCATCATCGTAGAACTGGAAGTTCTTATTCCGGATAATTTGAAACCAATGCACGACAGACTTGGTGCTAGTGAAGGAATAAAGATGCAAATACGCAGCAAGCTTTTGTGTTTGTTTGATGTTGCGACACTTCCAATTGAAGAGGGCTTGGAGGGCTGTGTCGATGATGCGCACAAATATTGGCGGGTAGAGTATCGTTTGCCACATGGTTGTCGAAGATAGTATGCTGCGTCGCCCAAATAATAGGAACAAAAAGTCCGGGGAGGCTTTCATCAGTGAATCAACAATGCGGTTGCGGAGACCCGAAGGAGCCATGGCCGGTGCAAGTGCCACGAACACATCAATCTTCTGGTTGAGCAATGGATGAATAGCGAGTGTCGCGAATGCCTGCGCTGTCCCCTGGGAGAACCCAATGTAAGACAATGACAGCTGGTCTGTTACCTCGAGGATGTACTCGATGCTGTTGGGAATATCAGAGAAGGCAAACTGATCGATAGAGAAATCCCAAAATTCATTGGAACCAGGCGAGAATCGGATTGACTTCTTGGAGTATTTATTTCCACGATTATTTCCCAGCCATACATCGTACCCTTTTTCCACCAGCTGAAAGGGCAGGCACCGCTGCTCGTCTGTCAAGGCTACCCACACCTCACTTGACATGAGCAGGCCATGGTGGAGGTAGACGACCTTTTTCCGAAGCCCACTGGGACCATGATTCACGTTCATGTTTTCTTCTCCTTTGCGATATGCCAGCCGGTGAAGCCCAAGAAGGTAACCATCGCTTGTTTGTACAATGTGCTCCTCGGCTTGATACCCGAATAGAGCACATATCTCGGTGAAATCAGACGCGTCTGCAACAGAGCTGGCAAATATCTCCTCTTTTGTGCGCTTTGGGGGGATTCATTAGGAATCAAAAGGTTGAAAAGTGCCTTGGATTGGCCATAACAAAATTTGATGATAGGGCTTGCTGGTTAGGGATTAGTATTGGTATTATCCATTGTTCGGTAATTTTCACTGACGAAGGCACCAAGTAATCAAGTGAATAATTGTCTCAAGTAAAACAAGAATCAAAGACCCGAAGAGAGCCAGGTACTCATACCTAGAGAGGTGAAGGTCAGTTGCTATGTTGCCTGTCTGAAGCTTGGAGCTCCTTACCAGAACAGTCTCCCAATGAACGGAACCCGCGCCATAATGAACGGCAATCTCTATGCATATGTGCAGGTATAATTGAAGATTTATGCAAGATATAGAGATGCTGCAGACGTTCAAAAGCAAAAACAAGCCGATGAAAGTTGCCCGACGTCATTTCCAACATGTGATAGCGATGCTTATCTCATCCGGGGATTGTCCACATCCACCAATCAGCGTCGAGGTTACTGACAACCCGAATTTGCCGTGGTCCCACGGCCTCGTTCTTTTGCTCTCATGCTGCTTGTGGTTGCGCATTCGTCCACAAGGTCGCGTCAACATGCCCAGTTCATGCAATGATATCCGTACGTTATACCCTCGAGTCGTACAACCGTTTAAGGGAGGGTCAGGTTCCTGACCCAGCTGGACCTTCTACCGCAACCCTCCATTGCCATAACGCAAACTGACCACAATTGCTTATCTAGGGGAGGCTCTGGCCCAATGCCTCCAGGAGTCGGACTGCATCATGGTCCAACGTCATTCGCCCCGTGAATGTCTCAGCTCCCCTCTCGCCGAGGAGTTACCCATGAAATGTCAGCAGCTGCGGAAAGGATTCAGCGAGTGCAAGTGAGTCGGGAACCGAGCTTGAAGTCTAGGTCGACCATTACGGACAAAAGGAACATCCTTGCTAATTATTGGAATTTCTCTCGGCAAAGGCGTGGTATGATCGATATGCGCAAGCGTTTCCGTGGCAATCAACCCATCTCGGTATCCAAGGAGATGGATGGCGGGAAACCCAGTAACTCATCTGGGGGACAACTATATGCTGGGCAACCCGCATACCAGTCGGTCAAGGAAATCAGCGGAAATGAAGTGCAGATGGATCCAGAGAAGACTCGTGGCCTGTAAAAAGGGTATTTGGATTCGCTGTTTACATGCTGGCATGGCCCGGAGTTCGGTTACGCTTAAAACATACATTTCTTCTCTGATATTCATCTCTCTCAAGATCGGCCGAGATTTTTCATACCCCAATCTGACTATACATATTACACCTTCACTATCTCTTCCAGAACACCCACCAGGCGATCTGGCATACTCAAGAACGGCGAATGCGAGCTCGGTAGCCGGTGGGTAGTGCCAGGCCCGCCCATTTTCGAGGCAAAGAACTCCTGGATAGCTGGTGATAGAGCCAGATCCTGCTCACAGATGATGTAGGAGCAAGGGATATCACACCACGGCTCATATGTGGTTTCACCCGAGAAGACCGCACGCGAGGTGTGCATTGTTGTCTGATTCCATTTTTCTTGCTCCTCCAAGGTCAGGTCCTGCCAGCCGACGTTGCCGGTGCCGTCTGCGTAAACGTAGTCGCCCTTTCTGTTGGTCAGCTTGATCTTGGACAACGATACCGACCATAGGATGCGGGATGGGCCAACCTCGACCCTCATCCAGGGCAAATAGTCTCCTCCCAGCATTCCCAACAAGCTCTGCCCTTTGTCTAGTGCAAATGCAGCCAGATAGACTACCTTCACAATGCCTCCGAGCTTCCCGCTCTCTGCGCGAACATGCTTCACCAGCCCCTCGCTAGCTGTGGAGGCTACGACACCACCGTAGGAGTATGCCACAAGAACAATGTCCTTTCCCTCGTCTGCTAGAGTCGTCAATACTCTACGCAGAGAGGCAACGTCGTCTTCCAATGTCAGGGAAGGAGGCTCAGCGCCGATAGAGGGGTGCGCAGGGCACTCGGAAGGATAACCGAGAGTATCCAGACGGCCACGCACGGCATCGAAAACGACGGGAGTGACCCAAGCACCGAGCGAGAAGACGAAAGTCGGTTTATCCATTTCCAAAAGATTGAATTGCGTTACTGCGTATATACAGGAGGGCAACCGTTCGAACGAACAGAACATATGAGAATCGAGGCTAATTCCTTGTTCTTCCCTATCATTAAAGCTACACTCAGAAGAAGCGAGGTGCACTGCCGTTGCCTTGGGCAGGCTGAGGTTCTAGTATCCACTGTTAGACCAATCTAGGATGGACTAAATGTCCCGCCGTGGATATTGGGACCAACGGCAGTTATCTTCGGCTTCAATTTAGGAATACGAAACCCACTGGAATGAATTTCACTCGTCGCTTCGGATTATTTAGTTTGATTCACATCCTATCAGACTTCTGCCCTCTTTTACGTGAAGATAATTGCGTTTAATGAAGTGTCGTTTTCCCGAACATCTACCGCTTCAGTCTCGCTGTCATCATCACTGGGGTTGATGTAGCCCGGACTCTACTCACAGAGCTGGACAGCTGCAGGATTCCGACTATAGAATAAACATCCCGTACAAATCAATCATGTCTATGTTCGCCTCGTAGAAAATAAACAGCCAATACCAATGCGGATAATCATAATCCTACGTTCATCATTTTCAGTTTCAGTTCATCGAACCCGGGGCAAGTCACCCAAGTGTGTTGGCGGGCTGAGCCATTATTCGGGTTTCTCCTGGGTATAATCGATCTAAGGGCACGGGAGAATCAAGGGTTATATATGGAAAACTAAAAAGATAGCCAAAAAGCCGTCGCAGGATCGTATAAGCGGCCGACTATTCTTGTATTATCCATGGATATCATTGAGGATTGGTTATCTTTAGGACCTAATGTGTTCATTCGGGAGATCAAGATCATGCAAGAAAATTGAAAATCATACACAGACAGCACAATGCATACAGAGATAAATATAAATCTACTGAGTCTTCTTAAGCTTATCAGCCACAGGGGCAGAGTAAAGCCAGACAATGACGAAAGCCAAAAATCCTCCAATCACCGACCAAAGACCGGCAATCCATACCCAGCCGCCGGTAATAGCCCAGCTGCGCGGGTACTCGTCGTGGGCGAAGTGGCGGTTAGTCACCTCGTGCTTCTCCTCGATGGCGGTAAAGAAGGGACGCTTGTAGTTCACGCGGAAGGAGAAGATACCATGCTGGTCGGGAGTCACGAACTGGGTGCTGAACACAGTGCTGGTATCGGTCCGGCTAGTGGGTTCGAGGTTCAGGCGGTGGAAAGGCGAGAGCATGGTGAACTCGAGCTGGAGGGCATCGCCGGCGGGAACTTCGAAGGGAACCCACTTGTCGTAGACGTACTCGGAAACCTCAATGGTGTAGATCTGCAGGAAAATAAGGTCCATGGTTAGTTTGGAACAAAAGGATACCAATATCGTTGTTTCACGTACAGTCTCGTTCTTGATCCGGTAGATCGAGGGGTTCAACTCTGCGCCCTCAGTGGCAAGGCGATGCTCAACCTTGTCAACCTTCAGGACACCGGTTTCCTTGAAAGCCCAAGCAGTCAACTGCTTAGCGAACTCGCGGTTCACGGTGGAAGTCTTCTTGCCGCTGGGCGTCTTGACGGAAGCCGAGAACCACTTGTCTTCTAACGACTCTACTGATCCAAGAACAGTGAACCGGGCTGAGTTGCGTGCCTGCATAGCGGAAACGACGTTCAGCTGCGACCCGGTAGCCAGGATATCCTCCGCCGCGGGCATGCCCTCCTTGGGATTGTAGCTGTAGGCAGTGGCAGGGGCCTTGAGAATCGGAGAGAGAAGGGCGCTATCACCACCGAGAGTCTGGGGAGCAACTCGGGGGAGGGCAAGGACACCTTCACCGTCAAAGAAGGCCTTGACGTCAGGACGGAGGAGTCCGGGGCGCTGGAGGACAAGGACGTCATGCTTGTCAGCGGCCGAGATGGTATCGTAGTTGAAGTGGTCAACAACAACTTGTGAGCGGTCAGTGGAGAGATGAATATCGAGTTCAAGAAGAAGGGAGCTGATGGCGCTGGAGGTGGCAGTCTTGCCAGAAAGGGCGAGGAGGATGTTGCCATCCTTGTTCATGAAGTCGAGGATGTGTTTGGGGGTCAAGGAGGGGCCGAGGCCTGTATTCGTGGGTCAATTGACTAGAAATTGTACCAATTAAACCAGGGTTGCCCACCTTTGGACTTGGGAGGGAGGATCAGAAGGTGGTCGTAAGCTCTTTCGCCATGCTTGAACAGGGCAAGCTGTTCGCTCTTGGAAGATTCGATTGAGACATCGTATCCTCGTGCTGAAATTCCAAAGTTAGCAAGTTATCTCTGAATGGAGGCAGAGTGAACTACCCTCTAGATCTGCCCACAGCGTGGAGTACAGGTCCTTCTGTTCTGTGTCTTCCAAAATGGCCAACAGGCGACTGCCGGAGCTACTCAGCGCATTTACCACAGCCAAGAAGCAACAAATAAGCAACGCAAGACACCACCTCATTTTGAACAAATTCCGCACAGCGGAGCGGAAGGTATCAAAAAGAAGTAAGTAAAGGAAGGTGGTTGAAGATCCAAGTTGTATAGATAGCCAGAAAGGGCGACGTGTTTAATGGACCAGTGCCAAGACCTGAGAGCGCTGGGTCCGCATCTCCGAACTTCGACTTCACCTCGTCCCGGCTTCAATTTTGCTTCTCTTGTTCCTGCCACTCAACAACCACTAAGTGGGACTAGTGCATCTGTTCATTCGTGCGCGCTTGAACAGCTTTATTTTATTACTCAGGCATTGACCTCTCACCTATATCGCAAAAAATCCCCGGTCGTCAACGACCTCTTCCTACAGCCATGTCTACCCCTCAGTTCTGGTCGACCCCCCTCCGCTACATCCGCTGGGCTGCGCACGAGAAGCCAGCTATCCTCGCTGCTATTGCCATTGGCTTCATGGGTCCCGTTTCGCTGGCCACTATTCCCCCCATTCGTCGCGCCCTCGGTGACGTCGACCCCGAGCCCATTCCTCTCACATATCCCAGTATGAACCCATCCAATTCCTACAACTCGGTGCATAAGCATCAAGTCTATCCCCAGGTAATCTGAATCTGACTAAAATCTTCACTACGTACAGTTCCGCAGGGTCCGCGGGTTGTTCCCAAGGGCTACGATGACGAATAAACAGGTTCCGAACCACGAAAATGTCAAGTCATCGGAAGTTAGGGAGAATTTCGTGTATTGTCCGAGCCTGGGAGAAATAAATTCAGCGGATGGCAGGAGATGAGTTGGCTATGCCACTGGACTGATGAACAAGTCTCATCGCGTCAGTGTGGGCAATCGGAAAGACTTGTTCCGAGGCAACTTCTCCTGGCCATCAAAATGCTTTGATACCAATATTTGTTGCGCATACGCCGAATGTCAAGACCGGCGCTACAGTGTATGTACTATGTTTTGTGCAATCGTATAATCGACATCAAGTCGCTTTTCTATGTTCTATGTTTCAAGTATCTTGGCTATGTTAGGAATAATTGCATTCTTGCGAGACGGGCTCCCACAATGGAGTCTGGCTGCTCGCCATATTTACGAGCAGGGCTACCTGTAACACCTGATCAATTACAGAATTTGCATTATACTCTGAAGCTGCAGCCTCAAGTCGGACAAGAACAGTAAGTAATTTAGAAATGATATCTTGATTCATCCAAGGTAAGAAATTATGCAGAGTAAGAGATTCATTAGGATCATGGAGTCAATCCACGATCTTGCACATCAAAACGTCAATCACAAAAGACGGACTAACGCCGCAAATGCTCATATCTACATGTAGGCCACCAGCCTTAGTTTATCGAAGCACAACGCCTCGCAAACCAAAGCAAAAAAAAAAAAAAAAAAAAAAAAAAAAGTAGAACACGATGACTCCCCTCCTGTCAAGGGAAAAACGAAACAAAAAGAAGAAGTTGCTAAGAACACATAAATCCTGTACACCGTTAAAAAAAAACCAACGAAGAAATCGCATTATTGTGGGGTGAGTATTCCCGGAATCCGTGAGATCAGAGAAACAAACAAAACGCTCAAGTCCGGACCACCTTTTCGTAAACTCAATCAAGCACATCACTCATACTCCTGGCTGGCCAGTTGCACAAAAGCATGGGAGAGAAATCAAAATAAAGACGGATGTCCGCGGGAAGTCCAAGCTCCTGCCACAGAGTAATTGGGTTCAATTCCTGTGGAAGTCCAAGGGTAAAAAAGAAGTGGGATTCATGTCCAATGGGAAAGTGGAAGGTCCCCCTGACTGGGCCATTTGAAGCGGGGTGTGAAACATAGAACATCTCTGGCTTAGTCGGGAGTTCCTGGACTGGAGACAAATCGGAATCTGAGAATTGTGGCCGAGAGAGGAAAGAAGGCGTAAATATTGTCCAGGAGATTATCACAAACATCAACATTATTCCTAGGAGCATTCTGGAGATATCCCAGGAATAAAGCATCAAGTGGACCGCAATATGGATGGTGATAGAGAGAAGAAATCATGAATGCAGGAAAACCCTTGGGGGCGGTCATTCTTGTCTACCGCCGACGGTGGGGGTTGTCTCTGGTTGCTTGTGGCCTGCGCTCATATTCTGGAGTATATCTGGGCTCCATTCCTATCCGGGGGTCCGGGGCAGTAGTGGTAGGATAGGACATCCCGGAAGTTACGGTAGAGTACTCCTGTTCGGCATCATATCCAGGTCCCGGGTACCGGGGAGCATTGCTTCGGCCATTGTCGTAACCATAGCCCGTGGGGGCATACGTGTACGATTGGGGATGTTGCATGTCCGCAGCCGTCACGATGGGTTGATTGGAACCAGAGTAGGAAACCTGAGGTGGAGGGTACGGAGCTGTACTTGATGCGTATGGCGAGTGAGTGGCAGATGTGTATGATGGAGGATTTGTGTAGGGGGCATTCTGGGATCCACTGTAGGAGCCCTGGGAGTAGGGATCCATGTATGACTGAGCGGGTGCTGCAGTAAAGGGCGTAGGGGATGGGCCCTGTGACTGGCGAACCTCATGAACGGGCGCTGGCGCATAGTTCGCTGGAGAGGTGTTAGGTGCATGGGAAACACTCGTGTCTTGAATGTAATTCCCACGCGGGTAGCCTAGGTCAGCCCGGCGTGAGACGTCCGCCTCCCAACGAGCGGAGTCAGCCTTCAGATCAGTAATCATCTCCTGTATCCGACGTGTGGTTAGAATGCCATCATGACTTATCCCGCTTTTTGTCGAATGTCCATAGTCACTTACAGATGTGAGATTCCGATAAGCACGGATGAAGAATCCTGGGCGGCCCTGTTCATTGTTAGTGAAAACGACTTTTTTTATTTTTTGAGTCATCGGGTCAAGAGCGGAAGACGAACATTGTGGTTGCCAGGTCTGACGAGGGCATCATTTCCAAGGTAGCGACAAATATCTGCTTGAATAACTTCTCGGCTGATTCCTTCACCGGGGATGAAATATTCATTCTGACGCTCCGGGCGTCCTTCATAGCGGCCTGTCATAATGTATTCCGAGGGAGGAAAATATCCGGTTTAAAAAATCTTAAGTCCTCGGATCCAAAGGGCCAGAAAAGAGAAAATCCAAGAGAAACTCCGGAGTGTGGTAGATGATGGTTTGAGAGTCCTGGGGAAAGTTGAAGGATGTTGGTGAGTCCGTTTTTATTGTAGGATGTACAGATTCTATCAGGCGACGAGCAGGTTCCAAAGCCGACAATCAACGACTTGAATGGTTTGTTTCCTTGATTCCAGGGCAAGGAGAAAACGAGATACGATCCTTGGGAAGTGGCCAGAAGAAAATTGTTCCTGGTCGCGAATAGTAAAAGTCCTTGGGAAAAGAGAAAAGTCCGGTTAATCCTAGGAAGAAATCCTCGCTGGTTTTCCACTGGGGCAATTATCCTGGGAATTGAGAGGCCTCAAAAAATGGTGATTGAATAGCGACAAAGAGGTTGACAGGTGTTCAAGAGAGGATGAGTTGTCAGGATCAATTAGGAGAAAGAGAAACACGGGCTGGCGGGGTCCTGCGGGCTGTCTGTAATCTGTTCGGGAACGAACTAGATATTTGCCAGGGGGTAAAAAGAGTAGTTTGAAGTGCTGGCAAGAGAAGCCAGAGTGAATATGGAGAGAAGGAAAAGAAAGAGAGAGAGAGAAGGGAAGAAGGAAGAGGGGGGGAGGTAAAGTGGACATCAAAGGGCCAGGGCGGTTGGGCCGTCTTGGGCTGGTGCCACGACTCCCCACTGAGATCAAGGCAAAAGCATGCATGGTCAAATGTGGATTAGACTAATGTGCAACCCTATGCTTGTAGCCGCTTGAAAAAGTTTTCATTTTGTACTACTAGGTATTTATGTGTCAATATAACCCATATAACTATGGATAGATACTCCCCTCCTAATCAAATAACACTTCCAATGTTGGAAAAAGTAAGCAAAAGTAGACAGCTGTACAGAGTGGATACATAGAGATGTATCTTGTACCCTAAAACTAGACCTTAAAAGGGTTGCTCTTTGTTTCCCACTAGATTTTAGTTGGGACGAAAAAATAAGGGCCGATCCCCCATATTCAACCAGCTTGGATTGCTCCTCAGTCTGTGCCCCTGGACCAGGTTAATATCGATACCCTACAGGACTCCACCAGTGGATCTTTAGCAGCGGTCAAGCAGAGCTGTTGATAGTAAATGAGATCATCAAGAACTGTCAGATGTTCGTATGTTGGTGGGAAAGGGTAGTGTCGAAGGGGTAAATCATAGGACTCCTCGTGATTGATCCCTCACACACCATCTGTAAAACGAGCGTGACAGAAGGACCAATCTGTTGACAGAAAAGACCGGTGGCGAGCTGCGAACTTGCCACCTGGAAAGTTGGCGGTCGATGTCCACACGAAATGACCGTTGGGCAGGAATGCGTGGCTTTGGGCACCTGCGCGAAGGCTCCGAGCCTCTGGTCCACTCACAGCCCGTCTGTGTCAGCTGGATCGCACAGATCGGAGATCATCCTGTCTCGTTTCTTTTTTCATTTTTTTTCATGTTCGAGACCTCTGCAGTGGACGAGTTACAACATCGGAAAATCCTGCACGAGAACACGACATCTGACTGTGCAGGGGTGGTTGAAGAAAGAGAAGCAGGCACTAAGTGATGGGTCATTTGGACATCCCTGGTCTATAACTCATAACTCAGGGGAATATAGAAAAGTAGATTGTGGCTGTATTTGGACCTGTCTAGAAGAACATTGAAATTACATTGAACTCTTGAGATATGTAAAATGTAATGGAAATCCCAAGGTTGAATTGAAGTGATGAGATAATAAACACGACTCGGGTTGAAGCTAACACGTGCCGGCGCTAGTCCATTTTGGGGGCTTGTCCCAAGGTTGAAAGCATCAGATTCCAAGCTCTGACCGACAACCAACAATGGTTTGATCTTCACCGTCATGACGCAGGTGCAAGCATGTCTGAACCCACCGAGTTGTCCGAACCCTTAAAGGTCTCCCGATTTACCCACCGACAATTGCAAGGGTTGCGACAGGGATCCACGGCAACCCCTCTGCGTGTGGTTGCGCATATCGACCTGGATGCCTTCTATGCCCAATGTGAGATGGTCCGCCTGGGAACTCCGCGGGATATACCGTTAGCAGTGCGGCAATGGGACTCTTTGATTGCCATCAATTATGCCGCGCGACCATTCGGAATCAATCGATTGATCAATGTTGCGGAGGCCAGGAAACTTTGTCCAGACCTCGTCTTACAGCATGTCGCGACTTTTCGAGAGGGAGAGGGAGGACGGTGGGCATATCGGGATGATTCTTTCAAAAACATACGCACGGACAAAGTGTCGCTGGATCCGTACCGAGCACAATCGCGAAAGATCCTCCAGACGATGAAGGATGCGCTGGCCACATGGAGTGCTGATGACACGGAAGCCGAACACCAGAATCCAAAGCAAGATCTCTCGGCTGTGTTGGAGAAAGCTAGTATTGATGAAGTATTCATTGATTTGTCTCCACTGATATACAGGGCGCTTCTTCAGAGGTACCCAGAACTTCGGATTGCAACACAAGACGAGAACCGGGATGCAGAACTGCCTATACCGCCGACTACGGCCTTGCAGTGGGACACAGACTGCTTGGTGGACCTGGATCAACATGAAACGGAGGAAGATAATCCAGACTGGGATGACGTTGTCATGCTGATAGGATCCGAAATCGTACGATCACTGCGGAACGCAGTTTGGGAGAAGCTCAGCTACACCTGCTCAGCTGGGCTTGGCCGCAATAAAATGCTTGCAAAACTAGGAAGTGCCTGCAACAAGCCCAACCTACAAACTGTTGTGCGGAATCGAGCGGTGCAGAATTTCCTAAATGGTTATAAATTTACTCAGATCAGAATGCTGGGTGGTAAACTCGGCGATCAAATAACTGCCGCCTTCGGGACGGAGAAAGTCAGCGAGCTTCTTAATGTACCGCTTGAGCAATTACGCACTACGCTGGCTGACCACACTGCAACCTGGCTTTACGGGATCATCCGTGGTGAGGACCGCAGCGAGGTCAATCCTCGAACTCAAATTAAATCCATGCTATCCGCAAAGTCTTTCAGACCGAGTATCAACTCACTTGATCAAGCTGAGAAGTGGCTTCGTATCTTCGCAGCCGATATATATGGCCGGCTTGTGGAAGACGGCGTGCTTGAAAATAGACGTCGTCCGAAAGTGATTACGATGCATTATCGAACCGCGCAATCTCGTTCTCGCCAAATCCCAATCCCAGGCTCTAGCGCAATTGACGAGACCCTACTCTACGATCTGGCCAATACTTTGCTTCGTCAAATTATGGCTGACGGACAGGCATGGCCCTGTTCTAACCTGTCGCTGAGCGTGTCAAGCTTTGAAGACGGCGTGAGCAACAACAAGGCTATCGAGGGCTTCTTGATTCGCGGTGATCAAGCAAAAGCTTTGAGTAATTCTTCAAGACCCCGAGATGCCGATGATTCCCCCAGTGGACAAGCCTCAACTGAGAAAAGACGGAAGCTTGATGGAGACGGGGGCAAGATAAAAAGTTTCTTTAGAAATCAATCACATCTTGAAGATACTGCCGCAGATGAGCCAGACAACCTCCAAGAATCCGTTGAAATGGATTCCGAACTAAGCAGAATTCCCCGGTTCGTATGTCCACGGTGCTCGAAGTCAATGATCGAGTATGAAAAGGAAGAACATGACGATTGGCACTTTGCCAAGGACCTCGCAAGCCAGGAAAGAGAGGAGGCGAAGGGTTCACAGCCGTCACTGTCCACGAAAAGTAGTGCACGCGGGACAACTGCTCGTGAGCGAGGTGGGCGAGGTGGAGGGAGTCGGGGCAAGCCGGAAAAGGGGCAGATGCGACTTGCTTTCCAGTGACCTATGAGCCTTATAATGTTCTGTTCTCTGATGCATTTTCTAAAATATGTTTTCACTCGGCTCATTATAGTTACGATATACCCCAATACCCTGGACCAAAATCACACTATCGCCTGATTGGGCCAACTCATATCGATTGCTTCATAATTTTATAATGTTACTCGTTGCCAAAAGCACATCAAAGGAAGCGCGAGCTTGACATTTCTCTACGTTGCGAGTACTTGGAAGTGCATCCGATCTTACAGTTAGTGTGCACTAGGCGGAGACTTACTGTTGACTTCTTGGGGACCCCGAGCAGAAGCATTCGGCAATGTAGGCTAGGCTCGAATGCCCAACAAACAGTTCGGATATGCGGCTTTGGGCTGCTCTATAAAAACATGGATAACGCCAAGCATTATACACCCCGAATATAGTCAGAACAGTGGTTTTTGAGAAGAGAACCAAGGTTCCAGCAGGATTAGCTAAGATTCTGGGGTAGCTCTAGAGAACTTAAAAGACTTGGACGAACTGGGGAGTAAACAAGAGTGAATATCTTGGCTTGAACGAAAATGGTTGTTTCATCTCCTAGATCTGCCCTCGAGGACCAGTGACATCAGCCGCGGGGTCGATCACTTTGCTTTTCGTCAGCCCTTCAAGTCACACGGTCCACGTTTTCATTTCCCTGGGTTGTATGTGTACCCAGCCAATTCTCGATCGACCTTCTCGATCTATCTACATACTTATCTTGCTTGTCGTACTATCGGTAGCTGCCCCTCGGTGATCTTGACTAGAGCACAGCCCACCTTCCTTTTCGCAAGCCCCACCAGTCACCAACTACCGAATTTGACTGTTGCCTTGAACTAAGCCATTTGAAAGGCTTCCGCGCCAAAGTCTTGAATCTAAGAGTCTTCTCTTTTGTGGTAAACATATATTTCCGACCGTAGATACGGCCGATTGACCACAAGATCCAATGCGGTGATCACCCGCACAGTCCCACGATGTCCCGCCGAGCACCACCCCGCGACTACGACGAGGAAGATGAATTCTACGAAATGGAACGAGAGCGTGAGCGAGACCACAGACCGCGCCGACGAGATCGCGACTACGAGGAAGATGTTGAATATCGTCGCCGAAGATCTGAGCCTCTAGTGGAGGACATGGATCGTATGCACATCCGCGAACGTCCTAGGCGAGACTTTATGGAAGAGAGCTTTGCGCCGCCGCGAGGAAGGGATGATATGGTTCACATGCGGCCAAGAGAGGAGGTAGATATTGTCTCGCCTGAGCGATATATGCCTCTAGACCGCGATGATCCCTACATGCGGCCGGCTGGGCCTCGGCGTAGACCTCGCCCTCATGAAGTAGACGAGGAAGACATGATTTTTGAGGAACGAGAGAGACGCCGGGCTAGTCGGCGTCAGCCGCGAGACGTTGACGAGGATTCGATTTTCGAGGAGAGAGAAAGACGCAGGGATAGGAGGCATCGCCCCGAACGAGAACGAGAAGTCGAAGGTGATCTTTTTCCCGACGAAAGTAAAATGCGTGGACTAAGGAGGCATCGTCCTGAACGGGAGCGAGAAGTCGAAGGCAGTGTCTTCATCGAGGAAAGAGAAAGGCGCGGAGATAGAAGGCCCCGCCCGGAGTTAGCATCCGAAGAGGATTTTCTGTCTGAGGAAAGACCAAGGGAACGAGGCAGTGGTAGGATGCGTCGTTCAGAGCCAGGATTTGAGGAAGACGAGGAACTCCTTGTCGAACGGGAAAGACGCCGAGGAAGTAGGCGCCACCCTCGGGAATTCGACGAGGACGATTTGATCATTAAAGACAGAGAAATACATAGAGGGAGCAGGCGTTACCCGGAACGAAGGTCTGAGGACGATCTTCTCTATGAAGAGAGAGAAAAGCGCCACCGCAGGCGACGTCCAGAAAGGGAACTCGAAGACAACCTCTTAGTTGAAGAGCGGGGAAAACATGGGAGAAGAAGACGCCGTCTAGAGCGGGGATTCGAGGAAGAAGAAATGCTCATTCGGCGGAAAGAGAGAGAAGAGCCTCCTTTACGTCGCGGATGGGACAGTGAACTCGACATTCGATCGCGTGAAAGAAGATTGGAGTTCGAGGAAGAGCCATACCACCGACCACGGCAACGACCTCCGCCTCCCCAAAGGGTCGAGGTGGAAGAGGTCCTGCTTGACAATGGGCGTCCCGAGCGACACCGAGGCCCAGTCGATTTTCCAGATCTAGAATATGAAGATGATGTGGTCATCCGGCGGAAGGACAAGGGACCAGGGCCAGTCGACCGTGTTGATGAGGAGGATATAGTTAAACGCGGGCGTGAAAAACGGCGCAGTGTACCTTCGGAGGATCTCGAACGCGAATTAAGAGGTCTTCGGCAAGAGGGCAGGGGCCGGATTCCGCTGGATGATGAGCTTAGCGCGAGCTCGCAGTTTGACTCCAAGCCACGCACCAGAGACCTTAAAGAGGTTAAGGAAGAGATCAGGACTCGAAAGTCAAAGGACAAGCTCCCATCTCGCCAGGCGTCACCTTCTCTGGATTCGATACATGTACCCCGGAGAGGTAGTTTTGATGAGATCGATATTCAACATCGGTGAGTAGAATAATTCTCTTTTTTGCCGCACGCTAACCGGCCTAGAAAAATGCGAGGTGGACGAATGTCAGAGGAAAACATAGTCCTCAAACACCGTGACAGTGAAGAGTCTCTGACTCCGGAAGACTCAATATCTCCAACTAGCGGCCCAGCTGTTGATTTCAACGATCCATGGGAGCGAGAAACAATATCCGCAACACGTCGTCGGCCCAAGTCGCTGGAAGACGAGAGCGAGTCGGAGTATAGTCTCGGAACAAGTGACGCTCCTTCCATGCGCGAAGTGGAAAAGGATATAATGATTGAGAGCACCCGGATAGTGAACAAGGGTCCCAGAGGCACGGACGACTGGTCTGTGGTGCATGCTCCATCTCCCGACGAAGCTATCGAGATGACCGGAGCTCTGGACGTTGTTGAGGTCAAACCGCGACATTCGTCAGTGGACGAAGCGGAAATAGGACGAGTTGCTCAGCAGGTCACGGACCCAGAGGGGACACGAAACGATCGGTGGACCGAAATTGCGAAGAAACTGGTAGTGAGGGAAGCTATTGAGCAGATGGGTTTTGAGTATGAAGAGACGAGGACATGTTACTACATCTTCTCGTACCTTAAATCGGTATGTATCATTTGAACAGACAGCTTTGTTGGATTCTGACCCGTTTGGCTACAGGATGACATAGACGAGCTTGTTGAGTTGTCTGATGAGATCCGAAGTGCTCGTCGCAGACGAATTCATGACATCCAGCGGGAGCGGGCCTTTGTTCCTGATATAGTACCTCATATGAGACCCCGTGTGGGCATGGGAATGCCTCCGCGTGCGCGGATGATAGAGAAGCGCATGCAAGATATTCGAGATCGAGAATGGATGCATTCTCGGCGGTAATGCCACCTATGAATCTGATGTTTATGAACCATGAATTTATGATAACCTTTTTTTTCTTTTTTGCTCTGAACTTGGAAAGTGCCATCGACGTTCAGTCAGTATGTACGATGGTATACCGTTATATCCTCCAATATCCTTCATCACGTCCTTCCCCGACGGTGAATGCACCGCCCGGCGAATACAACGCGCGGTTTCCATTTGAATATATAAATAGCTGGAGATCAGAACAAACGCTCTTCTCTCGTTCACACGCCCACGTGCCCGGAACACATTGGGACATCACAACACTCACCGTCTTTTTTTCGATCCAGCCCTACCTCCACGTGATCAATATGTCAAACGCATCCGCATCAGGTAGTACCCTCCCCTCTGGAAGTTCCTCAGAACTAGGTCGCTCCTCCACTGTGGTTCGTGTAAATGATGAGAATTTCAATATCCCGTCTCCCCAGCGAAAGATCATCATGCGCCAGCTCAGGAAAGCTTTTCTAGAACAACAAGTCCCCTCCCCATTCTGGGCTGTCCTCCACGTGTGCGACATCGAGAGGCTTGAGTGGATTTTACAACTCGCCCACTTCTCACTGAAAATCATGGATAGCTTTGCTGAGATTAGTTGTACTCTTCCCTTCAAATGGACGGTGACACCGTCTCCCTCCCAACAGTTGGAAACAGGATACCCGCTTTCTAGTTTCAGTCCGCGGCCACGTGCTCCCCCAGTTGCAATTTACGCTGCCAGACAACGAGATGGATACAAGTGTGTCATCACAGGCACCCGCAAGATTTACCAAACCGCTCCGATCTTCCCAGCTAGCGCATTCACCTCCAGCTTGAAGGATGATCCACTTGCTCCTAACATTTGGAGATTCGCCGATGTGTTCTGGGGAAAGAGCAGAACCGAAAGATGGAGACGGGCTGTTTTCAATGACCCAACCCAGCCCGAAAAACCCGTCAATGATTGCACTAATCTGATCTGCCTTCGGAGAGACATTCGATCTGCATGGTCAAGTGGTTTGTTCGCCCTGCGTCCCGTCTGGATCTCCGAGGACAATACCGAAATGGAAATCGAGTTCTACTGGCAGCCAAAGCCAGACCACAGGCTTTACGACATGGTTGAATTGTCCAAGGTGCCCGTGTCTAACAAGAATGTCACCAGCGTGGATCGACTGATCGTGGTGGTAGGAGAGCGAGGTGAATCATCATATCATGCTATTGAGTCCGGCTACAAATTTAGAATGACAACCGACGACCCCATCGAGCGACCACTTCCGAGTTTCGACTTGCTGGACATGCAGTGGCATTTCACTCGAATGGTCAGCTTATGCGCTGCGGGCAGTTTCTTCGATGAAGATAGTGAGGATGGATCTGACGCCAAATCCGACATTACTACCCAACCGGAGCAGCCTTCCACCCCGCCAAACGAGGACGTTCTGGCCTGGGTTGAATCTTTTTCGCTCGATTCCGATTCCGATTCCCCTCCTGGCTCAGAATCAGAATTCGTTGAGGATATTAATGTATTAATGGTCGGCCCTCTGCCAGGGTCCGACACCAACCGTTCGCGCAGTGTTAGCCAGAGTTCGAAGAGTTCCGAGAAGACAGCAGATATGGGTTCGGCGGGCCCAGCAAGTGTGGAAAGTTCAACCAGCGTGATTGATGTGATTTCCGGAACTGGTCATCTATCCATTGACTTCAAACGCGACAGTTAAATCATGGGTTCAGGTCCGACACATTTCATGTACCGTAGCACACAGACCACTTGATTTCCTGCCAATATTTTCTTATGTGGCAGCTGTATGATGTATCTACGAAACACCTTTTTAACTGAACATGTTGATTTGAATATCGAATGGTCGCAAAACTTACATGGCCTTAGAGTAAACCCTGTAAGGTAAACACAGATGTAAACTTTCAACTCCGAGATACGGTTCGCGGATGCCTCATGCAGGCTACACCAAGAGATCATCAGCACTGTAGGCTTGTTTCAGACCTAGAACGCCACCTGCAAGCCACCAGGCACAATAACAAATAATTATACGGTACGGAGTACGGAGATTTAGCATCCCCTTAACTTCGCCACATCTTGAATCAGCACACAAAAAGACCTAGCCCGAAATGGATAGCCCAGATCGAGTAACCCTAATTACACGGGGCTGGTAGTCCCCCTTGCGGGAGATTACGTCGTATACTGGGCTAGCTGTCCTTCCACTCGCGTGTTGTGGTGGATTTGTCTCAGCCATATGGGCCACAACATCATGACTCTAGGGCTTGCCTTGGCATTGTCCAGATGTGTACGGAGTAAGGTTTGGTAAACAGATTTGTGTTAATATTTAGTATTGGATTGCAAAATGGATTTCAACGATTCTCAGTATTATCAATGGACTATTGGTTCGCGTATAAAGTTTCTGTATTCAGAGAACACAACAAGTGGCCAGGTACGGAGCACGGAGTACTGCTTTAAAGCAATTGAACCATATGCAGTTATATTATATATATATATTGTATGTGTGTAACAGGAAGTCTTAAACTCCTTCTCTTATAAGACAAATTGTATGCAATTGAAATTTCAAGATGGGCACCTGCGCATGATTGTATCGTTTTTACGTTTTTACGCCAAGTGGATCATCTCCACTTGGGAGATGAGTGGGATGATTCATATTGGATGAGTCGAGAAAGGAAATAAACCTTGGAAAAAGGGGAAATCATGACTACTCTGTGTATGTTGCACAACGTTGTACTGTACTTTGTTGGTTATTTAGTTGGTATAGTTATGTTGTACGTTGTACTAGACTAGATTAAGATGCCCAAATCAACAGTCTAAACACAGTCTAGAGAGAAACGGCAATTGTATTTAATAGCCGGTCAATCCCAGTTGTTTCATCACAGCCGACTCGCTTTCATCCGGCAAATCACAGCGATCTCTCGAGTCGATCGTCGTTTCCAGCGGCTGGGCATTGGGGGGGGCGAGAGCGAGCATTCGGTGTACTCCGTACAATATTCAATTCCCGGGGTGATAGAATTCCCCGTGTTACCTCACGGTCTAGGCACATTGTACCAGGGGATTTGCAAGATGACAGGTGTCCATTTCATCATGATATACGGAGTAGTTTTGGAAAGCTCTGGTTAGTAACAATTTGGTCTGGGTCCCATACGTAAGTTGCTGCATTGATCGTAGAGTGGAGGAAAGACTTTTATTGCCACGATGGAGCTAGTCTCGAAGGTTCCTAGAGAGCTTTTCTTTATATAAATAATTCCAAAATTAATGCACACCAAGCCAAAGTTGGAACATTCTTAGTGCGAGGAGTTTTCTCTCCACCCAATTACGTATGTCCCCAATTACGCTATGTACTTTGTAATCCTGGTAATGCACTGGTGATCTCTCGGGCAACTGTTTCGGATATAATAGAGAAAATGATACATAAATAGGAGTACGCTATTCCCTGCACATATTAGAGAGTGAGTACGGAGTACAACATACATAATATACGGAGTAGATCGAAAAAGAAAAGAAAAGAAAAAAAGGTATGAAGGGTGGAATGTTTCCTTGGCCCAACGATCTTTGGTTCTACCAGTCAGGCCATTACAGTGGAGAAACAGCGCATTAGGAAAAAAGTCAATAAAATACTTGTTATACTGCGTGAGACTGCGTGAGACGGTGTTATACCTTATACATTGGGAGATACAAGATTGGAAGATGGCTTGTTATAGGCTCGCACTTCATACATAGGTACATGTACCTTACAGAGATAACAACATTTGAAGATATCCTATAAATGGCCGATGTCTACAGAATAAAAACAATAGATCTGTAAATAAACTACAATATCCTTGGAGATCTCAATTAATTATTTTAAATCCCATAGTAAAATAGGAAATCAGTATCCACCGGGTATGTCGGAAGGCCTCGACATACTCCGACGAGGATAGTTAGTGTAGGATAACAGAGCAGGATAGCACCTGAGGCCCGTGACTGGAGATCCCCCTTCTCCTCTTCTCTCTCTCTCTCTCTCTTTTCCTGTGTACATTCGACTTCACCTTCTCCTCCCCCTTCATTTCATTTTGTTCCTTTTTTTTCTTGTTATTTTGTTGCCTAGCCCTTCGACTTATCGAGACAATGTGTCTTTGATACGGGACAACCTACGACTTTTTCAGCGTTTAGTGGGGGGATCAACAACAATTGGGACGTTTTCGATCGACTGTCATCGATATATTAGATTCTTCCTCCAGACACTATCGGACTGGTCCATAGGTGATCGACAATTCACATCGGTCGGCCCACACAGCCAATTTCGATCTTCCCTCTGCGCAAACTTCGTACCGTCGCTACCCTCACGCTTGTCGAGATCTGGGTGGAAATTAAAAGAAAACCACAAATACCAAAAAAGGACGGTCGGGTTTGATAAGAAATTATTGATCGAGCACACCCACCATGAAGGTTGCGGAGGTGGTCTCAGTTTTTGCTCTCCTGGCTCGGCCATTCGCGTCGGCCGCTTCCAGCCTCACATACTGTGCTTCAGTCAACACGGGGTCTTCCTTTAACGCAGGTACGCGATCGCAAAAATTTAAAGACCTAGCCATATCGCTGACTTCCCACAGTTTCCGACACATATCAATCAAATGGAGCATGTCTAAAAACTTGCGCCAATTACGCCCTGGGTATCCTGCAAGGGAAGAAATGCTGGTGCTCGAATGTTGCTCCCTCTCAATCGTCGCAGTCCTCTGACACCTCGGACTGTGATGGTGCATGTCCGGGTTATCCCGCAGACAGTTGTGGAAGTGCATCCAAAGGAGTGTTCGCCTACGTGGAAATTACAGGCAACGATGTGACTAGCACAGCCGGTGGTTCAACAACCTCAAAAACCACGTCGTCATCGTCAACCTCAACATCAAGCTCAACGTCAACTTCGGTAAGCCACCCCTTCTATTTTGCTTTTGGGTATCATTTTTCTTGGTTTCTTTTCGTTTTCTATTTTTGGACGGATAAACCTTCCTGTCAGCCTATGTAGCTTGATTGGGTGTTCTACTCTTTCTTAGCTTGTGGCTCTAATATCGGGGATAGGAGAGTACGAGCGTTCAGCCTGAAACTGTCACTGTGACTGCCTCGGATCCTTCCATTTCATCCTCACACACTGTATCTTTAGCATCACCGGTTTGATTAAATGGCACTTTCGGCTAACTTTTGACCCTAGTCAACTTCGTCGGATCAAACAACTAGTACCTCGTCTACTGTCTCAGTCCAAACCAACGCTGGCGGCCAAGTCAAGACAATCACCGTTGCAGGGTCAAGTGCGACTTCTGGCGCCGATTCCGCATCGGCCAATACTGCCGCTACCAGCTCGAAATTGAGTGGAGGTTCCATCGCAGGCATTGTAATTGGTGTTCTTGGAGGCCTCGCCCTGATTGGTGCCCTCATCTTCTTGATCTTCTTCTACCGCAAACGCGCTCGTGCCGTCAGCCCTATCCCAAGCCAGGAAATGGCCGACGACAGAACCAGTAGGGGATCGAGCTTCATGGGAGGTCTGTTCCGGAGCAATGGAGAAGGCGCTGCGGGTGGACCTATTCCCGCACGTTCGGGCACAACATTCACCGATCGACGGATGAAGACCAACACCGTTCTCTACCCGAACGGTGCTCGGGAGAGCAGTGTTTCGCTACAAGACAACGAAGACTACTCGCGTCCTGTTCTTCGGGTAAGTTTGATATTGAACTTTAGATTCTGGGTAAACACTCTTGCTAACTGCATGATTTCTAGCTTACTAACCCCGATTAAATTTGGAATGACAATTCTATTTGACCGCCTTTTCTTTCTCTCCTGTCGTCGGCGCCTTTCAATCTCCATTAATATCACGCCATCCCAAAACAGCCCCATTATGATACCCACTTGTCGCTCGGTTTCTTCGCCATATTCCCTTCTATTCTTATGGATGCAGCTGTGGAAAAACCAGAAATAACAGCACATGAAGCCGGGCGGCCTCTCCCCCACCGCCAAGGAACGGTTCTGAGGGTGCATGCATTGGCATTGGCCCGGCAGAACACACTAGAAGGATAACAGAAAATAAGAGCCAAAGCCCAGAATTGAAATCTATGCTTAATCCCCCCAGCCACTTGAGACGCCTTCACGAGCAACACATACATTATCCTGCATACATACCCGCCACATCGGTGACGATGCCAGCCCATGTCGACATGGTCTGAAAGTATACATACATTGCTGTCTTTCGGTGCATCTGACATCGCCAGCCTCTGGGCTCTTCGCTTTCTTGGCATTTTCATCTTTCTCTTGCTCTTATTTGTTCAACATGCTTGTTAGCTTTGCTTTTTTTGTCTTCATTTGTCATGTATTACCCAGCCTCTTATATCGCTGCCCCCGTCTTAATTGTTCGTGCATTTTCCATGGCTTTGGTCTGAGGGGATGAGGATACGTCCCCGGCGCTGTGCTTAGACTGCCTGATTCAATGGAACTATTCTACCTTCGGGATAAAGATTCACTGACCACTTCGTCCTGTTGTATGAGGTCGTATGGCTGTATATTGGTCTGGTGGTACGTCTTATTGGTGATACTTCTTTTTCGGTCGCCATGGAGCTATATAGATGGTTTCATGGCAGATATAGTGTTCTCCATTGATTTCCATCCTTTCTTCCTCCACACGTAGAGTATGTGTATCACTGTGCTTCTTCTGGGTCCTACCAAGGCATAGATACCTACGGGCTTCAAGCCTAGCAGTTTATGATCTTCCCAAAAGCGAAGGATATAGCGCGTGATTCATTGGATCTATTCGAAACTTAGAAAATACAACTCGGTGTGTAGGAGAGTAGTATTCACCGAACCACACAAACAATTGCCAGTTATTGAACTAGTCAATCTTGTTGAACTTGGGCATGTCTGTGACTACACGCTCACCTACAGTCTACAATTTTAGGCTCGTATTCATTGTTCTTGGAATGGGAACTTTTAGAAGGGTTTCATTTCTCTCATTCCCTCATTTCCTATATATGTACGGCAATGACAGATCACAGATCCGCTCTTCTCGTACTTTTGATTTAGAGAAGACCCGATGACACAAATTACACAATCGAAAATAAACGCTAGTTTGGAAAACGCGAAACCACGACAGAACAATGTCGATACGAGGAAAAAAAGCTAGAATCGAAGAAGCCGCAAGATGACCATCATAACTTGGCCTATCTCATCATTATCGGTGTTTTCCCTTACCAAGTCCCAAAGACAGCCTAAAGCCTTATAGAGCTCGTATGGCATTCATTCCGGGAGGTACTAGTAACTGTGACTCTCTAAGTTTATCAATGTAAGCGCTCCTTTGTATGTTTAGCTGACTCGCTATGTGAGAGTCAATGGCAACCTCTAAGGTGTCCAAGAAAAGGCTTCTCTTTTCAGGATCAGCCTCTTCCCTGATCGTGCGAACAAGGCGCGGCAAAGCCTTCTCTAACAGACCTGTCCTGTCTTCTTCTCCACATACAGCATGTATGACTGGACAAAGATGTTGAGCTTCTTCGACCAACTCGCGGGTTCGATCCGAATCAAAGTTTGCGCCTGCTAAGGGGAGAATATGCAATGCAATTTGATAGACGCGCTTATGCTGGATCTCAGTTTGTATACCACTTGCACTAGACCCATACAAGTGATGAATATTGGACATAATCTCCATAATCTTACGTGACATATTAGCATAGGTATCACTCTCCAGTATTTGGGGGCTGCTGCCGCCGTCGCGGTCTATACAAACCTCTAGGTAATCCACAATCTCAAGTCTCCCAAGGGTAAGAGCTGTGGCATATGCTGAAGGCGAATACAGTATCCCGGGGTTATGTACCAGGGAGGCTTCGGTCCTTCGTAGAATAATTCTAGGATCGTTAAGCTTCCGGTCCTAATGGCACAGATAAGCGGCGGAATACTGTCCCTCTCATCTTGCTCTTTACTCACGCCACGGTTGATAAGCGTTTGTATAATTTATATTCGTGAGCTGAGATTGCTGCCTGAAGCTCATGCCCTCATATATAGCTTTCTAGGGGAGCGTAGGCTTTTGTTAAGAATCGAGTATGCGATTCCAAAATGGAGTTTTTTAATAGCAGTCGATAGAACAGGATTTATCGACTTATCGATGGGGTTGAAATCCGTACTAGCATCGATGAATCTCATGGCGAGATCCGGGCTTGGTTGGCGTAATGCGATATATAGTGGCATCTGATTCTTCTCTGAGACCATTGTTATAGTTTCTATTGTCAGGTGGGGTGCCACCAGGTCGAACAGCTCCGGCTAATCACGGTGGGCTAGGACATGCGCTGCGGTCTCCCTCTACCGATCTGTTCGATTGAAGTCTATGCCTAAATCTATACACGCCTGCACAGTCTTCAAATTGCAATGACCAATAACATAACAGGCGAAGCCATTTATCTCAGTGTGGTTGTCGTCGCCGTGGGCGAACGCAAGAATCAGCGCAGTATTGCTAGCGATATCTTCCTCATATGGTAGGCTGCCTTAGAGGAAGTCTGTCTGGTTGTGAAAGATCAGCACCGTATTTCAGAAGCAAAGTTACTATCTTAGGCTGATTAGAGCGAGGCGCTATATGCAGCATGAATCCACCTGTAAGGCTGTATACGTCAGGGTCGATGCCTGCGCACAAGTAATCCTGCACTGTCTCGATATCTCCACGCACAATAGTGCAAGCAAAAGTCTCGCTTTCTCGTAGTCTAACCAAGAATAGTGTTGGATCATCCTAGATGTAACGTATTGGCATGTGCCTTCTAGCAATCGCATTAGGGTCCTTTCATTCCTAGCGAAGTTCTTCGTATTCTTGCTTGGGAGGTAGGGCGTAGGCAATAAGACGGGCCCTCTCCTCTATAACACCATTCCTGAGGAGCGAGTATATAGACTTGTAGGTCTGATAGAGCCTATAGCTGTCCCGGAGAGACACTGCCTTTGCAATAGATAAAAATATCCGACAGGTAGATCGCCTAGACCGCGACTACTAAGGGGCCGGAGAAAATTTTGGTTGCTGAGATATGGCGACAAAAGGTTGTTGCTAGATTCAGAATACGGAATTTGAGGACTCTGCGATATGAGAGGGGAGTCTTTAAATATGAAATATAGCTTCTACAAGAGCAGAGCGCGCTTATATAGGTTATTCAGAGCCTCTTATACATTCATATATTAACATTGTTATAGACGTCTATCATATTTATCTCGAGCTCACTCGGTCAATGTAACAGCAAGCAAAGCTGTTACCAGGAAAGATCGCCCTCACAGTGAAATTCGAAGCTCCGGTCCCGTTTGCTGGGCGCCGGACGTAGGGGTAGAAAGAAAGATACAAATATAGCTTTATCTCTAGGTATAAGGAGATTAGAGAGTTTTGCAATTTTTATTTGGTTTGTGAAAAATTACAAAATTCAGATTTTGCACACTGTTTAGTATATTGTATAGGATATTATTCAACAGAATAAACAAATTGAATATATTTCAGTATGACCTTTGTAGTAACTAGTATATATTTCTCCTAGATTTGGCTTGATGACATGGCCCACACTGAGCTGAGTCGTGAAATCCACCGCTGAGGCTAACATAGCTAATAGCATTAACCATAATCCCAACAAAGCACACTCATTGGGTATCAGTTGCCAGTAGATAAAATGGACAGCGTGAAAGGACACGTAATTAAAAGTTGTTACGGCTGCGCTCGCTCACTTCTAATCCCTGCTTTCTAGCTACTCGAGTCCTAAACGAGAATGACTGGTAGAGGCTAAAGCCGGTCTCTGAAACATGCCCTGGTGTATAAAGTACGGAGTATGGACCTCGGGAACTTCCAAGGTTAGGAAGTGGCCCATCCGCTGTCAAATGGACGGGTTGTGGGGCCCCGGCGCATGGGCCACACCGCATTCGACTGCTACGAAGAGTCAACCGTGGGAGTGTTGCATCAACCAGGACCATTGCCCGGGCCCAGGCCTTAGGATGTACTTTTTTCACTTGAGTGCCCAGGTAGTGGCCCTAATACTTACGCCCCTGTACTCCGTACACCGACACATATTGACATGATCAAATGAGATCTCTCAATTTCATTCTCATGTCCGCGGATCATTACGAGTTCTAGCATCTTGGATAGAAACTAAAGCCCCTGACCTGAAGGAACATCCGTCGCTAAATAACTGCCTTGACCTTTGAAAATAAGAATACATATGGAGTGGTCCACCCGAGCAGCCAGGTTAGACAGATTGAGATCTGCGGATCTGTGTTATTTCGTTGTGATTCCCTCTCATCTGCCGCCAGATCGCCAAAATGCCTAGCACCACTGCTACAGGTGACTTTGGCCCAGCGCCGCCTGGAGTAGATCTGGCAAAGAACCAGACAGGAAACTTGTTGGGGGCAGTTATTCCTGTAGCGGTACTCGGGACCACTGCAGTTATATTGCGATTAGCTGCGCCGATGAAGTCCAAAGAGTCGAGAAAATTAGCTATTGATGACTACCTAATCATTGCAGCGCTGCTATTTTCTTGGGGCACAGCAATATCCTGCTTCATAAGTGAGTCAATATTTAGTTCCGGCATAGCCAATAGATGGGCACAGCACTTACACCAGGCCCCTTAGGCATTCCGTATGGCAATGGTTATCATTTGCAGTCTTTGACCAAAGCGGAGTTTATTACTGTTTGGAAAGTAAGGAAACTACCAAATACCGGGCGAACTGATTGGGATAGATTTTGACAAAACATCTAGATCCTTTTTGCCTACGTTATGATTTACGCCACAGCCGTCACCTTCACCAAATCCTCCATTGTATTCTTTTACCGCCGCATCTTCAACTTTCGCTGGTCATTAGGCTTTTGCATGTTCTTGGTCCTTGGGTACTGGGCCACCATTATCATCACGGTTGCAGTGGCCTGTAGACCACTGCCATATTTCTGGCTGGTCTATACTGACCCAACAGCCATTGGTGTATGCATTGATGTGCCCACATTCTTTTTTGGTAATGGAATTGGTGCCATGTTGATTGATGTGATAATATTGTGTATGCCGATGCCAACAATTTACAAGTTGCAGATGCAATTGTCGCAGAAGGTAGCGGTCATGGGCATTTTACTCTTGGGAAGTTTGTATGCTTTCCCCTCCTACTATTTAATTCTGGCTAATTAAATCTAGCGTTTGCGTGGCAAGTATTTGCCGAATCATCGCACTGCAGAAAAATACCAGAGGAACAGATGCTACATGGACCATGGCACCTGTCTTTATCTGGTCGTGCGTGGAACCCTTTGTTGGCATCATCTGCGCATGTCTCCCTACCTTTGGACCATTCTTTCGTCGATGGTGGACCAAGGTCCGGACAGGGCGTTCATCAAATAGTCGCAGTACCGATCCAAGCGCCGAACATCCATCTGCTACAACGACCTGGCTCCGGAAACCCCGAGCAAGAAAGCCACCCAAGGACTCATTATTCAGTATCAATGACTTTGGCTGTATAGATGAAGTCCAATTAATGAACGATATAAATGCCACTCGGTCGTTGAGGGACGAGGCTGTAAGTGACCATCAAGATGTGGAGCGAGGAGATTCCAGTGGCATTACAGTCCAACAAGATGTGGATGTAACATGGGACAAGTATAAATCGGGGAAAAAACGCTGATATGTCTTGAATTCTCTCAGCTTTGTGGATTGCGAATATGAGATATTGCATTTTGAGACATATTACATTTTCATTTCTTTTGTGTACAATATAAAATAAAAATCGTCTTCGTTCTATGTGCCATGTTGACAAATTGGAATTGAGATAATAAGAGGCAAACTTCTTGTATAAAAATTAATGGGGAAGCATAGCTATGCAGTAAGGTACGAGTAGTGCGGATACGGAGTATTTACTCTTTACGTGGCTGGGTAAATTGGGGCGGTTCATTGTTTTCATTAGCAAGACATAACAATTACACAGTACAACATAACTAGGTGCTTCGTACTTTGTGTGTGTTTAATATCGCACTTCGCGGCGCTATGTGGCGTTATGACCTGTCATGCCAGTTGACCGGAGTTAAGGTGGGGAAAGCCAGTAGATTCCAACCGCGGGACAGGTTAGCCTTCCCGGTGGCCCTGGGCCCTGGGGCCGGGGGCAGTGTGGAGATGAGCTGCCTGTGGAATTTACTAACAGCCGACTGTCTAGGTACTTCTTTTCAATTGTTCTATAGACTGTCACTCAATCAGAAACATGTACACATTAACAGGGGCTTAAGCCTTAAACCGTTTTCCCTTTTCCCCTCGTGTGAGAAAGGCTAAAAGAATTCCCCTATTCATTCCATATGCCCCCTGAGTTTACTTGTTTCTTCTATTCTATAATATATATGTATGTAGTTTCCGCAGGAGCTATAGTAGCATTATAAGAGGAACTCACCCATCATTTACTGCCTCGGCCCCCCGAATCCGTCAATATGCGTTACAAACTCACCTCAAACGGGTTGAAAAATGGTTCTGCCTCTCTCCCAACACCTGCTACCCGCGTTGCAAATGGCGAGACCCCTCCCAACTGGATCCCCTGCGCCGAGCAACCTGCATATGCGCGACGGAAACTAAAGATAATTTGCATTGGCGCGGGTTACTCGGGTTTGACGCTTGCCTACAAGATCGACCATGAGCTGAAGCTCAGCGATTTTGTGGAATTGAAGATCTACGAAAAGAATCCTCAGGTTGGTGGAACATGGTTTGAGAATACCTATCCTGGTGTCGCTTGGTGAGTATTCTGTCTATACTTCTAATACACCTGACTGCATGAACTGACCTATCCAGTGACATCCCTGCCCGTAAGATACTTCACTGGCTCTTTGGCAACCGAAATTGACATCCACTTAGATGCATACACATTTTTATTCGAGCCTAATCCAAACTGGTCCCACTTCTATGCACCCGGCCCCGAGATCGAGGAGTACATCCAACGCACGACAAGGAAATGGAACCTGGACAAAGATATCCAGTTTAACACCCATGTTACGGAGACGGTGTGGAATGATGAGACAGGGAAGTGGAAGGTGGAGGTAGACCAAGGTGGCACAATCATGCATGACGAGGCTGATATTCTGGTCAATGCGGCCGGGTTTTTGAAGTGAGAATCATTTATCCTCGACATCGTTTCCCTTACTAACGGTGGTCTTGCGACTAGCAAAACCAGCTGGCCGGACATTGAGGGCCTATCTAGTTTCAAGGGAAAGTTGCTTCACACTTCGATCTGGTGAGCAAACGTTGTTTATGAACTGTCAAACATATATTAAAAAAGAGTCATACTTAGGGATAACGATTACGACTGGTCAAGCAAACGTGTTGCGGTCATTGGTAATGGCGCCTCTGGAATTCAATGTGTGGCTGCAATGCAGCCAAAGGTCGCACAGCTTGTCAACTTTGTGCGCAATCCGACCTGGGTTTCTGTTAACTTCTGTGCGGAGAAAACACAGAATGGAGGCAATTTCCGCTACACAGAAGAGGAGAAAGCACACTTCGCGGAAGATACCGAGGCTCATTTTAAGTATCGAAGAGAGTTAGAGGCCAGGCAAGTTCAAAATTCCACACAGCCGCCCTAGTCAACAGGTCGCCAGAACTAACTCTGCCCGGAGTAAAGTGTAAATGCGTTCTTCTATGGCATGTATAGAGACCACCCGATGCAATTGGGTTTGACACAAGCTTGCCGGCAACAAATGGAGGAGCGAATGAAAGGCATCTCCGACCCAGAAATTCTGTCAAAGATGCTTTCTCACGAGTTCCGTCCTGGCTGTCGCCGCCTGACGCCAGGAGATGGGTATCTGGAGGCCTTTTCCAATGTCAATGCAACTCTCACTTTCGATCCGATTGAGCGTATCACAGAACAGGGCATCCAAACCACCATGGGTGATGAACAACAATTTGACGTGATAGTCTGTGCCACAGGGTTTGACACTTCCTTTATTCCATCTTGGAAGATGATCGGTCGCAATGGAGCCACATTGGAAGAGCGATGGAAAGGTAACCCGGAGGCTTTCTTTGCTGTCCAAGTGGACACCATGCCGAACTATTTTATCTTCAACGGGCCCAATTGTCCTATCTCCCATGGTTCAGTTCTGACACAGATCTCTTGGACATGCGATTACATTCTCCGCTGGGCGAAGAAGATTTCTTCAGAGGATATCAAGTGAGTTATCATGGTCTTCATGGGTGGCGTTTGATTAACATATTTCACACAGGTCAATTGACGTTAAAAGGGAAGCCATGGAAGACTACAATGTCTATTGCCAGGAGTTCCTCAAGCGTACGGTCTGGTCGGATGAATGTCGGAGCTGGTACAAGAATGGAAAAAGTTCAGGTCATGTCACCGGGGTATATCCAGGCTCGGTCTTGCACTTTAAAGACTGTCTTGAAAACATTGGTGGCGAGCACTTCCATATTGATTACCGCTCTAAGAACCGATTCCGGTTCCTAGGAAACGGTGAAAGTGCGCGTGATCAGCACGGAGCAGGTGATTTGGCGTGGTACATGGACGATATGAAAGTCTCCAAGCCGCGGCTCTAAGTCAACTGCACATTTTCGTCCTACATCCACGGCATACTTTGTATTGTTTACCGTTTGTTTACTCCCAATTTACCAGGTAAATATAAGAACTATTGAAAACGATCCATGATTTACAAGTTGAATTGTCACCCTTAATTGATAGACGGAAGTTAGTTCAATCGATACAATGAAAGAGCAGTTTATTAAGCCCTGACAAAGTCCAGGTCGAGGTATTCCTGCGATTTCTAAGACTTGACTATATTACTATATCACGACTGGAGAGTTGATGACCGAGATAAATAGAGATTTATTTCTCTTGAGAGAACCAGTAGCTATTTACTTACCTCACACTTGATCTCAATTTCCAAACCGGAAGAATGTATCTACCACATCATCCTTCGAGTCATTCTGAGATACTCCCTTCCTAGCCACACTATGGTACATTTGTGTATCTACAGAGCACGAAGGCGCTGGCGACGAGATATCGAGCACTACGTCAAATATATCAGGCACAGCGGACTGACGCTCAGTCACAAACCGCAAAAGTCCCCATACAGCATCCGAAGACATACTAGTTACCTGGGGGACAAGATAGAATGGACGAGCCTCCGGAGAAACTGTGAATGTCTCCGCAGGGCCACTCTCGGGGTGGTGGATGACTACGGCCTTCATGACCGGGGGCATCGGAATAGAAACACCGAACCTGTAAGGCCCGTCCATCTCCTGGACTCTAGCCTGGATCTCATCCCAGGTCTTCCGATAGTAGGTCTCGAAGGCATTGGTCCACTCCTCGTCCGAACGATAGCCAGCAAGACCAGCGCACAAAGACCATAGGAAATAGTTAGTGTTGACCCATGTAGAAATACGAACCGCCCATGATCTAGATGGGAGATTGTGTCTCTGGCGAATGTCGCAGCGGATTGTGGGCTGCTCGGTGGCTTGCACGACGGAAATGGGGGACCCCGTAGACCGGGTGGACTGCCTGCCAGTTGTAGTTAGCTGACATAATTCTCGAAAGGGCTCTTTGTATCAACAGGGGAAATGTAGACGTGAAAGTTGTACTTGACTACTAAGTTGAAGGGGTCGCGAAACCCGGAGCTAGAAGACTGGGATAGTAGAAGGGTGGTGGAGAACCTGATGCAATCTACTGCAGAGGAAAGGGGGTTATATATAGCTCTGGGGGATCTAGATCAAGATTCAAACATTGAGGGTTTATTACATGACAAAGAGCTCGAGGGAAGAGGCCTTTGTCTTCAAAGAGTATAATTGAAACGTCCAGGCACAATGTACATTGTTAATGTATCTTTGTTCCCTTGTTAGCAGGTGTGACTCAGATTAGGAATGCCGTAGATCGGGTAGAATAACAAGGGTGCTTTGTATAATTTGGATTCTTAATTTGGATCTTAGGGTTAGATAGCCTCTTTGTTCTTGGGTGCGGAGTGGTATTCTTTAGAATTATCGCGGTGTGCTGGTGGGTTGGGACAACAAAGAAAGATCCACATCCTTAGACTTGAAGAAGGCATTCCAAAGTGACGTGGAATTCCTTTGTAATATTGAGATGTGAAAATATTTCTGTCATTCGATGCACCCCTTGCCACGGTAGCTAATAAAGAGTTGATGTATGACTACTATATGTTATATGAAATTGTGTGACAAACTCGAGAGCAAATGAACATGCGCTCTTAGTCAAATTGAAAGGGCTAAATCTAGTTTAGACGAATTCTCGGAAAATAGCCACCACCAAGAGACATGGCTCGTTTTAATATGTTCTAAAAGTTCTTTTTTTTTGATAAACAAAACGAAAACAGCAATGTATTTCGGCTAGACCCGACTTGGTGACAATTCGAAACCGGCGACACTCATTGGTCCCCCTAAATAGACGAGAACCCATGAGGCATGACGGGATTGGGGTTATGGCCCGACGTTGTATACTGCACCGGAAGAGCCGGAAGCTGGGCTCGGGACTCTGAGAAAAGCCAGTACGAACAGAACAGCCACCAGGTTATGAGTCACAAATCGAAGAAAGGTGTAAGTATAGAAGTGTATACAATCCCCAGATTTCATCCCCGGAATCAACTCACCGAGCAACTGGAACTGGCAAAGTGGGAAAACCCCATGGGAAACCCCCGGAAGACCACGCGTCCGCTCGGTTCCCCGAAGTTTTTGGCCAATCCCGAGCCAAGACAATGCCGAAACAGAGCCCACTAGCCCGAAATTGGGCTTTTTTAATTTATTAGCTTTTTATAATCCAAGGCTAAAAGTCGAAAGCCAGCAAATTTGTGGAATTGTGGCTGTAGAATTGGAACATTTGAACATTAAGAACCCATCAATCGATTAGGGCTTCTAGCAAACCCGAAGATTTACCGGCCCCTGTACTCCTTTTTTTCTTCCTGCTTTTCTCCTTTTTGCTCCTCACGTGTGATTTCAATCTGTAAAGCCATAACAAACGAACAGAAACCCACGATGTGGCTTATGTACCCTCATTGATTTTAATAACTGGCATCGGTCAATTGTCGGATTTGCGGGGGTCATGTAGTATCTAAATGCACCCAAATTGTCGGTGCGGTAAGCACTAGATATCTTCTCATGCGGTTGGATGACACGGATATACTAAAAGGATTCAAGCTGAGACTCTGTTAACGAATCACAACCCAATTCAGCCAAGCCATGGCGCTCTCAGACCTGGAGGCTTGTTCTCTGAGAGCTTCGGGTCCAAGGCACCCAGCCAATGCCGAGCCTGTTGGCGTGATGCTTCTTTTGGTTTGTGGCTTACCTTGGCGTCCGACAATTTTATATGCGTTCTCGTGTGTCCGGATAATGGCATCTCCGAATGTCGGTCTAGCATTCGAATTTGGCCCTAGCGTGCTATTGGTCCCTTAAACCGGCACATGCCATCGAATGATCGAGAGTCCCGTATATTTTTGGGAATGCTCGGTTCTCACTGTGCGTTTTGTCCTTCCGGGGAAATGCCACTCGTGGGTCTAACCCCAGAATAAGGCGAGGAAGGAGAAATATTTGAGGCTGGAAATGCGGCCTGCACTATATAATCCCCCTGCTTAGCCCGCCTTTCTCCTTTGGTTAGATTCCATTTTTCTGTTCTATCTCGTTCCCCAGATTTGTCTTCAAGATGGCAGTCAGTCAGTCTGTGGTGGGCCGTACCAACGCAGAGAAACCTCATGGTCTCAAAGGTTTTATTTCCAACCCATATGTCTTCTTCACTTGTTTGTTTGCCTCGCTGGGTTGCATCATGTATGGATACGATCAGGGTGTGATGGGTCCTGTTCTCGTCATGGAGAACTTCCAAAACCACTTCCCCACGTTCATGGGATCGACGATCCAGGGTTGGTTGGTGTCGGCTCTCGAGCTTGGCGCCTGGGCTGGTGCTTTGATCAACGGTATTCTCGCAGATCGTATTTCACGTAAGTATGCCATGATGGTTGCCGTCGTCATCTTCACCTTGGGCACTGGTCTTCAGGCGGGTGCACAGAACCCTGCGTACTTCTTCGCCGGGAGAATCATCGGTGGTGTTGGCATCGGTATGTTCAGTATGGTTATCCCACTGTACCAAGCCGAGATTGCCCCCCCTGAGCTGCGTGGATCCCTTGTTTCCCTGCAGCAGCTGTCCATCACTATCGGCACGGCCATTTCTTTCTGGCTTGACTATGGTATGCAGTTCGTTGGCGGCAACACCTGTAAGCCAGAGGGTATCTCGGACCCCTACCTGATTAGTGGCACATACAATGCCGCGCAGAACCATGGTCACACCTGCTTGGGTCAGAAGACCATCGCGTGGAGACTTCCTTTGGCTTTGCAGATTATCCCGGCTTGGATTCTGTTCTTTGGTCTCTTCTTCTTCCCCTTCTCGCCGCGTTGGTTGATGATGAAGCACCGTGATGAGGAGGCTAAGGAGTCCATCTCTAAGCTGCGTCGCCTGCCTGTGACTGATCCACTTGTTCGTGCTGAGTACCTTGAGATCAAGGCTGCTGTTATGTTCGATGAAGAGACGGAGAGTGAAGTTGTTGGATCCGGGGGTATATGGGCTCCCTGGAAAGCTCTGTTTGCTCCCAACATGTTCAAGCGCCTGATGCTCGGTTGCGGTATGATGGTTTTCCAGCAGTTCACTGGTATCAACGCGGTGCTCTACTATGCGCCCCAGATTTTCTCTTCAGTAAGTAATTCCTTCTTTCTCAAACACCCCTTTGGTTTTGCTTTACAAAGTAAATTCTAACTCTTTTACTTTTTCTTAGTTCGGCTTCTCCTCCACGAAGACAACCCTTCTAGCCACTGGTGTGACTGGTATCCTGCAGATTGTCTTCACCCTACCTACCGTCCTTTACCTCGACAAGTTCGGCCGCAAGACCTTCCTAATTGTCGGTGCTGTCGGCATGTTCCTCTGTCACATTGTTGTCGCTATCGTGGAGGGTATATACGAGCCTAAGTGGGATCTGAACGAGGGCCTTGCCAGACCGCAAGGCTGGGTTGCCATTGCTTTCATCTGGCTCTTCGCTGTTAACTTTGCTTACTCTTGGGGTATGTCAGCACGCTACCAGCTCATATGTCTCATCCTTTAACACTTATTGAATAGGACCCGTCGCTTGGGTGTTGGCTCAGGAAATTTTCCCCAACAGTCAGCGCTCCCGCGGTGTCTCGATCGTCGCTTCTACCAACTGGATGTTCAACTTCATTATTGGTCTTACCACTAAGGATATGCTGGGCTCAATGAAGTATGGTACTTATATCTTCTTCGCCATCTTTAGTGCTTTGGGTGGCCTGTTCATTTGGAAGTTTGCCCCTGAGACCAAGGACAAGACACTTGAGGAGTTGGATGTCTTCTTCGGTGGCGATAATAATAGCATTGCTGAAGCCGATCGCCTGCGCATGATGCGGATCAACGAGAGTCTTGGTCTTGCTGGAGTTGAGATATTGGAGGATCTCAAAGGTGAGAAGCAAATTGATACCGATCACATCGAGGTTGAGTCTACCAAGGCTTGAGTACCTGCGCGATGATGTGTATGGAATTTGGGAGGTGGATTCAAGTGTTGTTATATCAATATAATTTGGCCGGATGAAGTTGAATAGCAATCGTTCTAGTATTGCGATAACTACGTTATTCGCGTAATACTAGGACGCGACAATAAACCACCAAGATAATGCATATTATTATATGTCCAATCACAGTTTGCGTTCCCCAGGATATGATATTCCAAGTCATTCAAATACTTGTGGAGTCTAGGGGTATTTGATGACACGGTAGAAACCAGCAAGATTGAGAAATGAGGGATGATTGTAAAGGCCCCTTGGATATTACCTAACAACCTTGGAACTAATACCTGAGTTTTTGCAAGCGATCCTTTAGTGACTCTAGGTTGTATGAATGGTGTGTACTTGTCAATGTCATCTTTTAGCCGTTGAGGCAGGGCCTCACTTCTCTGAGATAGCTATTGCCAAAGACTAAGTACAACCAAGGCAAATTATATCCAATTGGTATGCCAGATTGTCTCAAATTAAGGGCAACAGAGTTAAAATCCAAACAAATTTTCATCCTCCTTGTACCCAATCTCCCGAAGTGCCGGAAGCACAGCCTTCTGAACCATAGCCGGAGGACCACAAAGCAGCGCCAGATTCCCTTTCTCGGGTCCAAATGCATATTTCTGTAGAATGTCCTTGGAAACATGACCCTTCTTTCCTCTCCAATTATCATTTGGATTCGACAGAACATGAGTGATCTTTAATTGATCCGGATGCTCCTCGGCAAATCTTTCCAATTCATCCCTCAATAGTATATCGTCTTCGGTCTTGTTCGCATTGATGACCTTGAGATTTGTCTTGTCCTCTTCTATACCCTGATCCTTGGCACGTAGGATACGTGAGATAAGCTGGTACCCGGGGGTGATACCGGATCCTCCCAAGACAAGACTCACATTGTGGAAGTGATATCCTTTGTCGTCGATCATGAACTTACCTTGGCCGATGTACCTGATCTCGCCCGAAGGCCCCTTGACTTCAACTTCCTCACCAGGACGCAGACAGTCGAGGATGTTGCTCATCGTTCCGCCTGGCTGGGATTGATCTGGGGCGTATGTCTTGACGACAAGGTCAAATGTGCCATCTTCTTCTCTCTCGAAAATTGGCCTCGTGGGTGTGTATGGCCTGATGACAAGTCGATCACTGAAATGGAAGCCCAGTTGAAGATGCTGGCAGGTGCCGAGACCGAGCTTTTTGGTATACGCTGGAAGCACGAAAGTATATCGACGAGTGTCCTCAGAAAGCTGCTCCTTTCCCCCAAAGCGAACGACATTCCACCGATGACGGTTAAATACAGTCTGTAAGCTCTTATTTGAGGAGTTGGCTTTTTCTTTGGCCGCGTCTTCGGCCTGCTTCTTGATGAACCCAATTGCCTTCTCGGTAACAACACCGAGGACGCATTCTGTGTTCAGTCAGTCAATATGTTAACAAACAGGGGAATGATTATATAGTACCGCTCAGCTTCTGCTCTGCGTAGTCATCATGAATACTCTCGAATTCATCTGTGGTATCGGGATGTGCCCTACCCGCGTGTGCCATGATAGGTGCCTTGCCACCAGGATGCCAATCTAGCACCCTTGTCGCATCGTAGACCTTGCCATTGATAATAATCCAGCAGTCATTTTCCTTGTTATGCTTTTCAATCTCCTCACGTGTGAATTGCTTTTGCGGTGATGCCGCCTCGTGCTTGATACTCTCGATGCGATTCTCTGTCGAGGGCCTCATCCAGCCTCCCGCCCCTGTACCGGGCTCACAGGGATGTCGGAAGTACAGCACCGAGCAGTTTCCTTCGTCGTCTAAAATCTCTGGACGGACGATGTACCGGCAATTGTTCATCATTCTATGCAGAATCAGTTAATAGCCACCCAAAGAGTAGTGGCGGAGACTTGCCCCATAATATTCCATGTCGGCGCCTCCGGCTGTGTATTCTTGAAAACATTGAAGCACCGGACGATGATGCTCTCGGCTCGAACAAGATGCGGCAATGATACATCCACATACCAATGGAGCCATGTCCAAAATTTGTTTCCATGGCGGACGGGGTAGTCGGGGAACTGAACGTGCAGTTTAATAACTGGCGCGTTACTGGCACCGGTGAATGGGCAGGCTCACCTTGCGGACACAGTATAACCAACTTTTCCCACCGTCAAGACTGACTTCCACTCTCTGGACTTCATGACCGCCACCATCGTACGCAATACCTGCTATACGATATGTCCGATTACTATTCACATCAGACAAAGGAATCGTCTCGCCATGTCCAGGTTTTACGATAATTGAGTTGAGGTTCTGTTCGTTGCAAGCTGTACTTGGGTGATGGAACATCACCTGTGAAAACTCTGAGTCTTTATCCCGAATAAAACTAGGTAGCACCCTGTTGTCCCAAATATGAAAATGGCTATCGTTCTCCTTGTCAGAGACCCAGATCCTCTGGAGCCATTTGACACAACGCCCACCGACATAGCCGGGGACTATTAGGCGGACTGGATAACCATGGTCTGGTGGCAATCGCACATCATTCATTTCGTATGCCAAAATCACGTCGTTTTCGGAGTCCATCACATATTCCAATGGAATGGATGTCGCGTACTTAGCCTCTCTGAGGTCATCAGCGCCTTCAAAATGGACCCAACGTAGACGCTTTTCGTGGAGAGGATCAGGGCTCTGGATACCAGCGGCTAGAAGCACATCGCGCAGCAGAGGGCCTTTCCAGAACGCACAACTAATGGCTCCAGCACCCCAATTAAAACCTTTGGAGCGTCTTATCATATTTAACTCTTTCCTCCGGTTCCCGTCGCATGCCATTGCTACCGCAATGTTGATAGTTTTATAGTTGCTTGCGAGATCGTCCATCGATAAGACCAGCTTTCCGCCCTCTATATCAAGTTGGTGGGTTTCCCACAGAAGATGAGGCACAGGACCATGGTTGCGAACATAATGTAGTGAATTTGGGGTGATGAGACCCGCTTCGTAGAGGGCTTGCAGTTGTGGCTCGCCATTGAGCGGATGTTTACCGGTTAGGCGGATGAGGTAGGAAGATCGGGGAATCCAATTGTCGGGAGTGAATTGGTCATCCTCGTTAATAGATATCTCCTGCTCTTTCGGTAAATTGCCTGGGGACTTGATGTTGCCATCATTCTCTTTCAGTGTCTTTATGTAATCGCTCTCCGACTGTAATAGGCGCAGTAAAGATAACTCTTGTGGTGAGTACTTGTCCTGTGGACCTTTTTCCTGATCTTTCTCCCTCCCCTCGCTGTCATCATGGTGGTATTGTTGGTCTGTGGCATGTGCTTCGTTGTGCGTCTCATTCTCGCCACGGCCCCTTCTCCACTCGTGTTCCTTTTGTGGTGTCTGTTTATCGTTTTCATTCCCCTTCTGATTCCTCTCATTTCCTTCCTCCCGCTGACGTCTCTTCACGTTGACAGGCCAGTCCTGCTGGTACTTTATGAAATCCTCCGTAGTGTGAAGCACGTAGCGCCAGCCCGGCGGGTGTTTCTGAGGTAACCTCAAATGATAGTCCTAGGAAGGGAAAAAGTCAGGGATTAAGGGCTAATAACGATGTTTGAGAGACACTAGAGCGCACCTCTTGCTTCTCCATATAATCGCGAACGTTGATCAGATCGTGTTCTCCCAGCTTCTTGCTAAGCTCCTCGGCTTCTTGCTTTGCCTGAGCTAAAAATTCCCGCTCCTGCTCCGGATTCCAGTCATCTCCAATATGTGTGTAAGCTGGATGGCGATCATCGCGATCGCGAAACCCAATTCGGTGGGTGTGGGTTATAGCCCAATCTGGTTCATTTAGGACGTCGTCCCTAGAAGAACCACCATGACTGCGCATCGGACGTGTGTAGTGTGGATTTGTTGCCATATCGGAACTCATGGCACATAGTCGCAGCGGGTACTTTCGCAAATCTTAGACGATGTATAGCAGGCACTGTGATAATTTCAAACGTACACGAGTACTCCGTGCTAATATGGGCGAAGAGGTAGCTTTTTCCCTTGCTCCTAGCCACTCAGAAACTACAGCGGAGGCATACCTGCCACATATGACCATTAGTCAACATACGTCATGATAACCTTACGCAGACAGTCCCAGAAGGGATGTCCACATATTCGGGGTTATCTTAACAATCTCCTTTCGAAAACAAAAGACACAAGACTTAATGTATTCTTAAGGGATATTTTATTTCCTCGGTCTTTTCCTGCATATCTTTTAGCATCTGTCAAAGTCTGCAGATTCACCATATGCATACAACCCGAACTGTGGGTGGATCCGCAACAAGGTACATGATTGGTCAATGCTAAAACCGTTGATCTGCAGGAGATCATCCCCAATCGTCGGGCTGTGAACAATGTAACGTATTGCCACATTCACGGTGACTTTATCGATAGTGGTGCTTCTGTGTTGGCTGCTCATCCTTACCCGTGTATACGCAAGGAGAGCGCAGCCAATTAAAGGAAAAAGAGAGGAAGTTTTTTTATTTTCCAACTCCTCAGGTGTCACCTATGAATGCCTTAGGCATTAGTCTCAGCATATATCCTTTGGTGATAAAAAGAAGCAAGATGGAAGAGAGGAAGAAGAAAGAGGGGATAAGCGTGAGAGTGACCGGAGTCGAACCGGAACAGTCCAGGTAGTGGAAGATCTTCGGCACTTCCCTCGAAGTACACAGGTGCAACCTGTTACCACTATGCCGCCTGCTGCTGGGGATAATAGTCTTACATTGCTCTTTCTTATCTGCGACATTTCCCAAAGTTTAGTTGTTTGTGCACACACATTATGTCTAGGTACGTCGGATTTCTGTGCATGTTCAAATGGATAGTACAAGGTTACATGCGCATAATTTCGAACCTTTGGTTGGATCCGAAGACATACAGCTAAGTCTAGCTCAAAGAAGGTAAGTATGCAATTTTGAGGATTTAGTTTAGTGTCCACAGGATGTAGCTTGGAACTTAGACATTGAGTATTCAGAAAATACTCGGAAGCAAGTAAGATAACAACGAGCAAGAGTTATGGATTGAAGTAGACACATGCCTATGCACCTCGGTCCTCCTTTAATTTTAGGTCGGCGGCTACTTCTGTGACTGTCTCCTGGTCCGGCACTATAATTCTCGGCATTGTTCCGGGATACCAGATAGCCCAGACGAGCATAGAAATTATCATCAACACAGAGTCGAACACATAGAGCATCCACTCGTGAGTAAGTGGATATCCATCATCCCCAGCTGCATACTCCACAACACGGAAAATGCTCCGAATCAGGATAAGCGCACTGACAGCATAGAGTGTGCGCACTCGGCTCATCCAGTCGATTCTCTCATCAAAGGCCTCTGTCGTGGGTGATCGACGCATGCGAACCTCGAAGACAATCGATGTGAAAATGAACAGACCAAACATAGCGACCTGGATGACGAGACCTGCGATCACAATGTTTGAGGCCATTTTCACGTTATTTCCCGTAGCCATCAGGCCAGATGCACCGCCTTGCACAAGGAATGATACGACATCGCCCATCACGAATATCTTGGTTAGCCAGTTGATCCGAACAAGCGAGTGTTTCTCGGCGTGGACGCTGCGGATGATTCGCCCGAGAGTCATATATACAGAGGCTGCGAAAAGGGTAGGTCCAAGGAGTAGAAAGACATTCTGAATAGCGAAAATGATCACAGAGTCTGTTTTGTTGTTCGCAGCGGCTCGTCCGACGTAACCGATAACTTCGACTTTATGAGGAAGCCAGTCAGCGATGTTCGACTAGGCCAGATTCCCAGTATACGTACATAGTCCCCCAATAGAAAATGCAAGGCAGAACCAGGCTTTTGTTCGGTGGAGTTTCCAAAAGTGAAAAGTTGTGGCAGCGACAAAAAGTACCAAGAAGATGATTGCTGCTGGGAGCGAGGGGACATATTTCCAAAGATAGTAGCCCCCTCTGTAAGGCTTAAGTTCACCCATATCGTGTACAGTGACAAGTGTCTTTCTCACAAAATGGAGAACTGATTGAGATTTAAGTTTTTTATTGCTTGTGGATCACAGGGTTGAGAGTGGTAAAATGAAAGTGATGGGTGCCTGGGTGAGATTTAAACAAAGCAGATTTTACAAAAGCTGGTACGATATTTGACCTAAGCATATAAACTTTTACGCGAAAGAGTTTAATATCATATAATTAAATATTTGAATAGGCCGGCCCAATGTATTTTATATGGTCCATACCAAAAATGGCGGAGCCGCCGAGCGCCAAGGCCTTTAACCTTAATGAAAGTGGAGACATGGTCTGTGCATACGCGTATTCTCACATTTTTTCAACCTCACCTCGACTTTGAAAGTCATCCAAGACTTTTCAAGTGGTTTGGCGGTATAGTTTATGTGGGCCCAGAGATTGGGCATACTGCAGACTGTCTAAGGCTATCTAGGCTGCACCATTTACCTCCGCTATGGGCCCAAGGGTCTGAAATATACTACTCGCGTATCGGAACCAAGACTTTCGGCCCTAGCCGTATCCTTTTCTATATCACAGCGTGGCAAAAATGGCCCGAAGATCACATAAAAAATCTCGAAATGGCTGCATTGAATGCAAGCGCCGCCACATGAAGGTTTGTCATCTTACAACCGCCTACATGCAGCTGCTGACCTCGCTCAGTGTGATGAGAAAAGACCAATATGTTCCAACTGTATTAGTTCGCAGCGACACTGCGAGTTTGTGGAGCCTGTGCCTACCGAACAGTCTCGCAGTGTTAGAAGTGAAACTACTACTGCATCACCCGCTGTTGCATCACCTGCTGTGGCTTCTTCGCCCGCCCAAGAACCCAGCAATAATCCTGAAGATGCTCCCGTTAATATGCTCCATGTGGAGCTTGTTCACGATCTCGGTTCAGAGACTATGAAAACATTCAACAATTCTAATATCCCCTTCCAAGATATTTTGCGGTATGGCATTGGTGCGCCATATCTCATGAACGAGCTTTTATCTCTGAGTTCTTTGCATCTCAGCATCGTTAGACCAGGACAGCGGGATTTCTACCGGCACCACTCTACCCAGCTGCAGAATTACGCACTGAGCTCATTCAACAGCTCATCATCGCAAATCGATGACAACAACTACGTCGCGATTTTCTTATTCGCTGGCATTCTCGGGCTGCATATGCTCTGTGAGACACTAGTCTATCGAGACAATGACTTTGAAGGTTTTCTTGACCAATTCGTTCAGTATGTCGTGTTACACTACGGAGTCCGCACTGTCGCAGGTGGGGGGAGATGGCAACTTTTACAGCAAACAGCACTGAGACCAGTCTTGGATCTCGGAGCAAGGATTCCTTCAGAGAACGAAAGTCTAGGTCCGGTTTGCCATCTCCTTTTAGATCGCATCAAAGGTCTTGGTCACAGTGGCACTACTACAAAAACATACGAACAGGCTATCCAGGCCTTGCAGTCCGTCATCACTTTGATCGACAGTCAAGTTCCAGGGTCCAATAGCTTAGATATCCTCATTGCATGGCCGATACTTGTCCCTCGCGAATACATTGATCTGGTTGCGCAGAGGAAATGTGAGGCTTTGGTTATCTTGGCGCATTTCGGCGCCCTTGTGGATACACACAAACACTCGTGGGTATTCTGTGATGGCGGCAAGTATATGGTTGATTCAATCACTCAGTATCTTGGGCCCCAGTGGGAAGAATGGCTTCATTGGCCACGGCAATCCGTGATGGCGTCAATTTCTGTACAATAGTAACGGAATGACTGCTCGCGGAGTCGCCATTAAAAACTGTGAATATTGATAACTATGAGTTGGGAGCCTCGAGCCTCATACAATTTTGACTAGGCTCTGTTTGGAGAGAGAAGGCTTTCTACCCGAGTAAGATTCTAGATATGCGGGTTTCTTCTATGTAGAGACCACAATCCTCCCACTGTCGTTGCCATTGAATCTGATCTGCGACTCGTGCGCGACAATGATTCAGGGAGTTTTCAATCACCACCCCCATCCTGTGGTTAATACGTTGCTTTTTACTCTCCTTCTCTTACTTTCCCCTCAGCCACAAACATCTGCAACAATCCAACAGCCAATATGGAACCAATTTCAATGACTGCAGACTAGAAGGAACTGGCCCTGAGAGTGAAGCTTCACCGAGACTGGTGTGACCCAGAGTGTCACCTCCAACATATTTCACTTGAAACTGAGTTTGATCGAAAGTTTTGAACGGCCAATTAGCATCTTGCTGAAGTTTGGGCATTTCTCCTTTCTCCTACGGGGGAATTTTACGAGAGAGCAAACTCAGGTTACGAAGTGAACACCATTTTTGTCACAAACTTCACTCTCGATATAAAGAAGCGTTCAACAAAATTATAACACAACCTCAATAGGTAACCTACTAACCGCCATCTTGCTAATTCCAGCGTAATCTACAAGCTCATAGTAAGTTGACTCCAACTCCCAACTATTTCAGGATCCACAAGATAGTACAACCGTGTAGAATGTTCTCGTCTGATCCACGATATAAATTAGTACTTCATTATTCGTTTGTATGTTATATGAAACTAAGCAAGTTAATGAAGGAGGATCATAAACGATACCTGCACCTTAGGATAAAAGAAATAAAAACAGCGAACAATCACATATCAACCGCCTAAAATCCCTGCTGCCGATGCCACTTCTCCTGCCAACCCTTAAACCATGGACTATCATCCAAAGTAGATACTTCCCAATCTTTTGGAACTAACCCGTTCTCCTTCTGGTTCTCCGCCCATTCCTCCAACTTAGGAAGCACAACATGCTGCACATGCCAAACACCCTTGTAGTCCATAAGGTTCTTCTTTCCCTCCGTAACAAGCTTCACCACCAAGCCAGGTACCCCAGGCTCATCACGAAATTCCGTGACTGGAGTAAAAAGCCCCTTGAAATTGAAAATGACTGCACCGGACAAGGGCAGACGCCTGAGAGTCTGCCAGTCCACTCGCAGATGACACTCATCAATGGTCAAATCAGCCCGCTGAGATAGCCGCTGCAGTTCGTGAGGGTCCCCGGGTGGCATGTACAATGGTTGTCCAATTTCCAGGCCCCACGAGCCTCGCTGAATTGGTTTCTCAGTTGGCATCTTGGTGAAAAACCTAAACCAAGCTCTCGCGTTAGCATTTTGATAATACCGTATCTCCACTTGAAACAACACCAACATACCGATCCATCGAGAACTGCATCTTCTCTTTATAGTCCGGAATCGGCTGATGGATCTCATGGAGCTGCTTCCCAACCTTTGACGCAACGTTCCACCCTAGCGCGGAGCAGATCACAGCCGCACGCAGGAAATAAAATCCTGTCTTTTCATCACGAAGCATAATTGCAAAGTCCTCTGGGACATTCTCCAGAAGGACTTCGAGAGGGGGCATGGCTGTGACATCCTGCTCGGTACCAAGGATCTTGTTCTGCAATACGCGCTTGTCAACCAGTGTGAAGTACTGTGGGTATCGGGCGCAGATAAATTGCAAGACCATTTCCATTAGCTCCTTGCATGCAAGCTCGGAGCCTGGCATGGCATCGAGGACTTCCTTGCCATTTTTGACGTAGAGTTCTTTGCGCTGGGCGATGCGGCTCTTGTATGTACTTTCAAGCTCGATCCACCAGTCTTTCTCGAGCTTGGTCAAGGCTATTTTTTGAATAGAGGGAATCAGTTTCAAATCATACTTGTTCAACTTTCTATCAGACGTACACATAGTTTGGTGATACGCCCACCGGAATGGACGATACGGCCGAGGCAGTGCCTTTTCGATATTGAATTTGGGATATGGGCTAGGAAGCGGAACTCCACTTAAAGTCGCATAGTCCGGAAAGTCCCCAAGTCCTTTCACCTCTGCCACTGAGAATCCCATCGGTGTATACTTGTCGCCCGGGCTGGTTTTATAGTCGGCGCTCATGGGTAGGATATACCGACGCACTTCATCTTCGTGCACGTCGCGTCTGGGTGCGGTATCACAATTAAGGTCTGCAAGGGTATGTCTGCGTTGGGGTGGGAGAACATTGTCATAGCTAAATGGGGCAGTTGGGCTTGTTGCAGCTTTCTTGTCCGGAGAGAAAGATCGTGGCGGTGTTCGAGCAGTTGAGTGTTTTCGACCACGCAACTTAACACTAGCCAAGAGAGATCTGCCAAATGTCCGATCAACGACGGCGTAAACGCCAGTGGCAACTAGTAGGATGAGTCCAACTCGCCAGATATTCTCTGGGATAGACAGAAAATCCATAGCGGCTCAATCCATACGAGTTAGGGCAGGCCGGAGGTGGATGGGGATTCAATATACGGGGGTTATATCACAGCAGTCGCAGAGGGCAGGCTTCGCAAAATTGAGTACAGATCTATGGACGTACGGGGGCCAGGTGAATAAGTACTCTCTGGACTAACAGTGGGCAAAGCATGTTCGGATATTGTTGCACTTAGATGGAGGATGTCCGAAGCGGGGGTGAATTTCGCATCCATTCAGAGTGACAAGAGGTACGCGTCGGATAGCTTCTTTTGTCTTCTTGCTCCATTGGATTTCCGTGTTGGGAGTGGAAATACCGGTGGTTTATGCTCGTTTCCGCTGCATCGACGTCACAGGCGGTTTATTGAGAGCCAGGGTATGCCTATCATGTTACTCTTTCCAGATCTCCTTATCATGTGTTCTACCATACACATAGGATACGAAAGTAGACAAGGTGCATGTAGATCAGGAACGCCAGTTTTTCGAGTTTACGACGCTATCAATATATACTAGAGACGTGTAGTTTGCTATTGTTCGGAGGTGATGGTTTAGCTGTCAACTCACTTCCTACACTATCCAATATGGATAGAACGCGAGAATCATTGTCTTGAATGAATTGATTCTGCAGTCAAACAAGAAGAGATAAGAACAGGGAACAGGTATACCGAAGTGGAAGCCCTTCTGTTACCCAAAAGGGTAAAAATGTCCCGAGGCTTGGCGGCAGATGACGGTTTGATTATGGGGGAAGCACCCGTGGACAGTGCGCAGCACTGGCCACTTTGACAAAACTCGCTATACCCGACGTGTTAAGTCTTGTCTTTTCTGGTGGCCGCTACCCCTTCTCCGGGATTGTGTTTTTGTGCGCTGAAAATGATATCGGACTCATCAGTCTTCTGGCTCACAAGGACTGATCCGCTCATCAAGCAAGTCCAAGTCCTCCAGTTGTGATCGCGGCGGTAGCTTCCAGAGACTAGTACCACAGACACGGTCCTTCGTGAGAAGATCATCAACAAACTGATCCATATATGTAAGCGTGAAAGTGTCGCGCACCCGTCGCTTCAGTTTCCGGTAATCGAGAAGTAGTGGTTCCAGGGTTTTGTAGACATCGACCGGTTCGAAGGTCAGTCGCACGTAGAACGCCGCAAGCGCGCGGAGGTATTTGAAGTCGCCTCGCTCCTTGACAAGAGCATCATCTGGATTTTCTGCCTCGTCGCCACTGCCGGGGTCGGTGTAATTGAGTAGTTCGAGGATGACGTCTCGGTCAGGCCCGAGCTGCAGGAGCTTGAATGCGAGGCAAAGGAAGGGAGTTGGTTTCTCAGAGACACCATATGTTCCACCGATAGAGGTCAATTCGACTGCGCGATCACAGAGAGTCGCTGCGTTCAAACCGAAGCACTGCTCCTTCCAATAGTATGAGTCGGTGATGCGGTCGCGCACGGCTTTCTCAAAGAGTGTGGCGGGGTTCACGCCACGGACCAGGGGGCCCTTGTAGCCGCGGTTATCGAGGAACGAGCTGGCATCGGCGCGATGAGCTGCCATGTTAAAGGTGAGGTGGAATACGGAAGTGCCAAGGCATCGAAGAGAACCAAAAAAGGACTACGGCAGCTTTTTTGGGACCATCGCGATAATGCGGATTTGGGGGATACCGCCTTTATCACCGCCTTTATCGCCGTGGTTCGACTGTGGGCGGTACACCAAAGGTATATAGGCTCTGCCTTTATCATACATTGCTCTACCATTGATTTCCATGTGCTAATTGCAAGCTGGAATAATGTCCATATTTTATTGATCTAGACCGGGGATGATCAATGTCCGACTAAAAATAACCAACTTGGCCAACAAAATGCTGTAAAGTGACACTGCCAAGACCACTTATCGATAGTCGCGTGGACAACGTAAACAATCTGATGTCATGAAACAAGGCTAACAATAAGACAGACATCCTTAGAGATTAATAGTCCAAGGTTGTTATATCTTGAATGTCATCCAGGGGGGCATGCATGTCTGAAATTCCAATTTTGTCTCATCACATTATCTCTATTCAATCCATGCAGCCTCCCTTGTGGCCATGGTTCTTTTAACGTCCTCCACAGTTTCGGCCATTGTGTCGATGGGAGTGATCTGCATATTTACCGCATTGCTATTTCTCTCTGGATATGTCTTGCAGCAGCAATCTGTCAAGAATATTCAGCATGCTTTGAAACCCCAGGAAGCTGCCCAAATAGCCAGACACAGGTCGGGCCCCGCATTCCAAAAGCCACTAAAACGAGGTCTGTCAGACAGGGGGTATGGGGCTGACGAAGATATACCAATTATCGGGAGTCAACCCAACTACGGCGCAGCTGGAAACTATGCTTATCTTCAAATGCTATCGGAACCGGATCCATCAGACATCTGCTCCGCAATTCTCTTCTTCAAACAACTCTCAACAAACGGAACAGCCGTCCAAGACCGCCTCTTCATGTACCCAGAGCAATGGGACAGGATGTCTGCCAAAAGGTT